CAGAAAAACCAAAGGATGAAACTGCTAAAAATGAAGAGGTTGGTTCAAAGCAAACTGTTTAAAGAATTATTTTTAGGATATTACACCATTTATCTGGATTTTAATGTATAAACACACTTTCAGTGTTTTTCTAAATCTCTTGTGTGTTGCAACTAGAACATTTATTCAGCAAACCTCTTGGGTTCTTTTTCAGCCTCAGAGTCAGCAGTCAGAGTGTGTGTCTGAGACTGTGCCGGCTCACATCGAGCTCCTTGGGAGCTTCAGCAGCCTGATGACCTCAGTGGAGCAGCTGCAGTCCAGCTTCCTGCTCAACCCTGATGGTTTCAGCGAGGGAGAGCTGGCCACGCCCCCACGCAAAATACTTCACACGATCAGGTCCTGTCAGCCTGCTGCTGCTATTCAAAAGCTAACCTGAGAAAACGTAGAACAGGATGATTTAAGTATTTGCACCAAAAAAAAAGTTGCTTTGAATGAGTAAATTGAAACCAAATTTGCTGTTTTGATATTAAAATGTGTTTAGAGTGAAAATTCTTTGTGTCTTTACTGTGTTTTTGTGCTTTGCAGGCAGCTGAACCCTATGTATGAAGGCTATCTCCAGCATGATGCTCAGGAGGTTCTGCAATGCATCCTGGGATACATTCAGGAGGCCTGTGACATTATCAGAAAAGAGCAGGAGCCGGAGAAAAAGGAGGACGACAACAGAGATGTTAAAACGGAGAATGGCGTTCCCTCGGATTCCAGTTTCTCTGGGATGGAATCCAGAGCTTCCACGGACGAGGACGGACAAGTCAGCGGAAAGAGGAAGAGCGACACAGAGGTGGGAAACGCCAAGAAGAAACCCAAGTCTAAGAACTCTGTGTCCGCTGAGGAAAATGTCTGTAGAAACAAAACCTTCACTCGCTCCAAGAGGAAGTCCTCCAGTGATATCACAGTGGACAGCACTCAGAGTAAAGAGGGAGAGCAAGAGGAGGAGGAGAAGAATATAAATCCTGATGAAGAGAAAGATGAAAAAGCATCCAGTAAAGAGGCAAGCGGGAAAAGGAAGAAGAGGGGTGCTCTCGGTTGGCTGAGATCATCAGGGAAGCAGCCAAGTATTTTCTCAAAGTTCTGCAGCGTTGGGAAGATCAGCTCTACAAATCCAAAAACTCTGAACAAATCCGAGCCAGAAAACAGACCATCAGAGGAGCCAAAACAGAAAAGCACTCAACAGTCTGCAGCAAGGAAGTCAGCTAACGGGCAAACAGAGAAACAGCAAGGTAAGAGATGAGCAATGAAGGCAATGGGAAAATGTAGTAAGTTTGAGTAATGCCTATAAGGCAACACATCATCAAAAACTGATAACTGTTGGGGTAAAAATAGATTCAACTTCTTCATTGATTACAGTTTGTTTGTTAGAGTTCTGATCATGATCCAGGCTTCTCTGTTTACCTCAGACGTTCTGGGCCTGATGGAGAAACTGTTCCAGGGCAGACTGGTGCTAAGGACTCGTTGTCTGGAGTGTGAGAGCTTCACAGAGCGAAGAGAGGATTTCCAGGACATCAGTGTGCCGGTGCTGGACGACCAGCCCACCACTCCAGAGGACCCGTCTGAAGGTGAGGCGTTGAAAATATTGAAAAGAAAAGGAAAAACTGAAGAAACTTGCCAAATTTTCACAGCTCCATAGGCATGCCGTGTGCGTCATCAGCCATTTTCTCTTCACTGATTGAATTTGTTGTAAAGTCATGTTTAGCTTTTTGCATTTCTAAAGATTGCTTCATTGGAATAACAAAATTTCACAGAAATAACTCTGCCGTTTATCTGAGAAGTAGCATTTTGGTTATGTAGGGGTGATTTTTTTTAAACTACTATTTATGGTTACTTGTTAATGAAATTAATATAATACAAACAAGTAATATTGTTTATCTTCTCAGTCTCTCCAGACCCAAAGCCTGAGATGAAAACCTTGACGTGGGCCATTTCTCAGTTTGCCTCAGTGGAGCGCATCGTTGGCGAAGATAAATACTTCTGTGAAACCTGTCATCACTACACGGAGGCTGAAAGGAGTCTACTGTTTGACAAAACTCCTGAAGTCATCACTATTCATCTGAAGCGCTTCTCTGCCAGCAGCTTGGAGTGAGTTCACAAACCGATCCTTTGTAAAAACCGAAACTCTTAAGGTTCAGTGTTTAACCTCGTTTTCCTGGCAGGGTGGATCCGTACGCAGGCCTCTCTAAAGTCAACACTCCCTTACAGACGCCCCTCACCCTGTCTCTGAATGAGTGGTGCACAAAGCCATCGGCTGCTACAGGGCAGCAGTACGAGCTGTTTGCTGTGGTCATGCACAGCGGCGTCACCATCAGCAGTGGCCACTACACCACCTACATCCGCATGTCCGATCTGAAGGACGCGAAGGTCTGGCTGCAGGACAAGACAGAAAAAGCTACTGAGGAGGATGCAAAAGTAAGGAAAGAGGGAGCACAAATAGACGAAAACACAACCTTCGACGATGGCGAGGTGTCAGTCAGCCTGAGCACAAGGGGACAGCAGCGAGCAAGTTTGGCTAGCACTAAATCAGGGAGCAAAAAGCTTTTGGAGGGAGGTGTTGGGCTCCTGGGTGGACAGAGGAGTTTGCCCGATTGTGAGCTGGGAAGCAGCAGCAAAGCAGCTAACCGTGACGCAGCGGAGGGATCTAAACGGAGAAAGACGCTAAGCAGTTCCAGCCAGAATGCAGGCGTACTCAAAAAGGAGCCGGAGGACATGGCAATGGCTCCCCCTGGTGGGATGGAGGCAGCAAAGCAGCAAGCTTTAACCAGCCTGCTGGAGTATGAGGGGAAATGGCTGCTGTTTGATGACTCTGAAGTGCGTTTGTTTGAGGAGGAGGACTTCCTGCGAGCCTGTTCTCCTGAAACGTGCTCCTCATCCACACCTTACCTGCTGTTCTACAAAAGGATGCCCGAGCCCTGACACTAAAATAAGCACAAGACATAAATGTACACACACATATCTAATTGTTGGTGCCAAAAACATTCATTGCCATTTCAGCACATTATCTATAGTGTGTTTCCACCTGCAGCAGTCTCCTCCTTTAGGACCAAGGCCAGCTGACTCTAAAGCAGGGGCTCACTATAAAAACTAGCCGTTTAAAAATGGTTCCTCGTTATTTTTATTTTTGTACACGTCAGGGATGTTTAAGGCTTCTTTGTACAGACTTAGTTGTTTGTAGTGGTGTATTTTTGACACTGGCTTTCAAAAATAGTCTGTAAGGGTTGCTGGTAGCAAGAGTACTTCTTTTCAGCACAGCTTTTATTTAGACTGAAGACTTTTTTTTCTCCATGTGACAGAACTTGCAAAATCCTTTTTTTAATGCAATGTTTCCACAAACTTATTTTTTTCTCAACTCTCCCATTTGTATGCTGTTTTTTGTTACTGTGCTTGGGCCTTCAGTAAGTCAATTTCTTTTGATATATTGAAACATATTTACAATATATTTCTATTAGAAATAGAAAAATAACTGTGTGCAGTCAGTTTAGAAAACCAGGTTTTTATATCACATTTTATATAGTCAAAGCTCCAGTAATGTCCAGAATTTAAAAGTGCAACTCTTGATTTAAAATCCTTTATGTTTATTACAGAGTTTAGTAGTATACTGAGGGGAAGTAAATGGTTAAAGCTGCCCATTTTCCAACCTTTTTGTGCAATGTTATGTTTAATTGATCACACATGCACTTCCTGTCTGAGAGAAAATAATTGAAATTAATTCTGGAGAAGCTATTTGTTACTTTGAGAACTCCTGGAAAGTCCAAATGGGTCCTGCTGTACCACTCATAACAGTAATAACTATGGACAGAAATCTTTTCCCCTAGATTTTGTCAAAAAACCTAACTAATCACAATTGTTTACAAACCCTAGAAAGGAAAAGAAACTCCCAAGAACTCCTGATTTTTCTGCAACCTTGAGAATGAGAAATCAATTGCTTGTATGATAAATAAAAATTGTATAATTTGGGTCCATTCAACCTACCTCACTGCACCTTGGAAAATATTTGAGGCTACACCCAATGTACAAGTTGCTTTCTTTTTTTAGTATTTTCCCCTTAACAGCTGTAAGTGTCCCACATGTTCAGTTATATTTCAACAAATACTTTTACCAAATTCAAATGCGTTTCCAACTGCCTTGGAAAAAAGGGTGAGAATTGTATCATTCTTGACATATAATCCAGCAACCTTTTGACATCCTGTAGTTAATTTGCGGCATTCGTTTTTATCTATGAGACAAAACCTCATTGTGAAGTGTACTCTGTGTTTTGTTTGAAGATAAAAGCAACCTTGATAAGTGTGAAGCTGTAGTTCAATACCAGCTGTAATTACTTTTGGGTTGAAGGCAGACGAGCAATAAAGTTTTTACCTCCAGTTTTTACTGTTTTCTCTTGCATAAGGCAGCTTTACTGGAATTTAGCTTAAGTAATACATGTACCCTGTGTACATGTCTAAGCATATCTGGGAAACATTTTATAACAGTACATAAAATATAATTGGTTTAATTTCTGGTTTGATTTAGTTTCTCAAATTTGAATATCATACAAGGTCAATGAAAATATTTTTTTATAGCAAATGTTACAGTCTACAAAACTGAAGACTGCTGACTTGACAATTGTAGAACATTGTGGATGATAAAAAGTGCAGAAGAATTGTTTGTTCAGAGCTGCAACCTCACATTAATAGAAAGTTAAGCAAAAAGAAAGACTGGTTGCTACTGAACCAAAAGTCCCTGCAAAATGAAAGTTTTGGTAATTCAGGTGAAAATCTTAATCCAGACCAAGTACAACTATTTTTGTAAAGCTATCTTATCTATTGTTTGTATTTATTGTAAGCCATGATTAAAATTAACGGAAATAAGTGCTTGACACATGTCACTCTAATGAGTATATATGTCTGTTATTGAATTAAGTTACATTTTCAATGTTATTCCAAACTATTCACATAGGTTTGTACATTACAATAAAAAAAAAATCACACACCATCTGAACATTAAAATATTTATTTAGTAAAATATTAAAAGTAAAACAAAACTACATAAAATTATACAAGAATGTTTTAAGTACCTAATTTTAAAATGTTGTTGCTTCAACATAAAATAATAAAGCATCATGATAAATACTGGTACAACTTTTTCCAAGTTTTCATTTTTTTTCTTCCTCTCTTCCCTCCAATACATAAACTTTCAAGTCATAATGCATTGCTACGCTATAATAAAAAAAAAGTGCACAAATGAAATTGAATACATTATTCTTTGACACATCGTACAGAATATTTAAATAAACACCTTAACTTTTAAAGTGGTACCTTTTTCTGTGGAGGCTTGTAAAAAGGTTGGCTGTAAAAAGGGGAGCAGGGAGTTTGGCACTTATCCGGGGCTCAGAGCACTCTTCGTATTCACTGGTTTATAGCTTGAAGGTTCTGTTGGTATCAAGTGTTTAAATGTGTGGGTTTCTTAAGATAGCTGAGGGAAAAAAACATCCCCTCAGCAACAAACAGCAACTTCCTTATTCACTTTGCAGACTGTGTGACCGTTTGTCTAGAAACAAATTAAGACACTGGAATGACGTACCGAGTTCCTTCACTTGTAACAAACACTCCTATTTACACTTCAAAATAAATTAATATTGCAAATTTTTGTCGTCTTTGTGTCGGTGACTGAGTGCAATCTATCTTCAAATGTCAAGCTTGCGAAGACTCAGTCTGCTGAAGGAATCTCTGCAAAATGAAAAAAAAAAGGATTTAGAGAATTTTCTGTTTTTTTTCCTAGATTTCTTTTAAGTATTGATGGACATGAGCTGGATGATTTACTTTAAAGCTTGATTTGGGTGGCATTTTGTGACTTGCAAAAATATTTACAACCCTTGAACATTTTCACCTTTTAATTTAAAATCACAAACTTAAATGTATTTTGTTTGGATTTTATGCGATAAATCAGCATTAAATATACAACTGTGACGTGGATGAAAAGAAACACATGGCTTTTTTTATTCCTTCTGAGAGTTCTTGCCACAGGTTCTAGGTTACGTTAACTTTAGGACTTTGACTAGGAACAATGTTCTGCGAAAACTTATAATCAGTGTTTTTTGATCTTGATAGAACTGCAAGATTTATAAGCACACAGGTGGTCTCTGTTTACTAATTAGGCAACTTGAAGAGAATTTTATTCAGAGGAGGATGAACACAGATGTACACCACACTTTTCAGATTCAGTTGAAAACCATATATCATTTTCTTTCAATTTCACAGTTTTCCATTACTTTGTGTTGGACTACAATATCAAATCTTGAAGTACAAGAATGAAACATCACATGTGTCAAAAAGTTCAAACAGTGTGAATACTTTTGCAAGGCACTTCATGTATCGACTGTTAAAATATCAGAATCTTCTACTCAAATGGCAGAAGTGTTAGCAATTGTGATTTAAAAAAAAAATAAAATGCATAATTAAAGAATCATTCAAATTCGGGTGTTTGTGCGCAGCATCATCATTTCCATGTCAATCTCCGTTTTTAAGTGTGGGTGCAGTGCTACAAACTGTTTTTTTTGCTTGAGAAAATTCTCTAAAATCTCTAAATGACGACACAAAACATGAGGTGTAGTTTCAGAGCTACCTTATCAAGCTGTCCGTTTGCTGCATGATTATTACAAAAACAAAACACTGTTTTAAAAAAAAATTACCAAAACAAAGACGTGAGCGCAGACGGGCGACATGTCTTCTCTCACCTGTGCGAGTTGACCTGCAGGACGGGTTTGTAAAGCTGCGGGATCTTCCTGTTGATGAGGGGCTGGAGCGCCTCCTTCAGTCTGTGGTAGTTTCGCTCCAGCTCCCTCTGGTACTCTTTCTGGTCCGGTCCAATCAGGCTCTTGTTCTTCCTGAGGGCGTCTTCGCACCTTTGGCAGGACAAACGCTGGAACGTAAAACTGAAATATCCTAACAAACATAGTTTGGAAGCATAAAGTACCTCTTTGTGAAGTCTTTAAAGCATAGACGGAGCTTGTTGTGGTGTCGATACAGTTTTGGGTCATTTGGGATTTCTGACAGGAACACCTGAGCCACTTCCAACGGACCCTAAAAATGAGTTTTCTATATGAGCATCAACAGAAATAAAATAAAATAAAAAGAAGTGCTGTGTGTTTTGCTGATGTCTGACCTGGTTTACCGTTGTGCCCACAGATCCCTGCAAGACCATCTGCAGCATTTTGGCGTCAGCCGGGTCCTGGTGGGTGGCAAAAGCCAGCTCCTGCGTCTTCTTCTGCATATCCTCTATTGCCACCTCTATGGGCGTGGAAATAATCTGGAAATAGAAAAACGTCCAGAGATTTTGAACATAATTTTCCTTTTACCATTTTAATGTTTCACAATAACTCCTTCAAAAAATACTCGTTTATATAGTTGTTAATCTTTGTTCAGTTCCCAGCAGGCATCTGGCTTGTCCAAGTCTTTTCCAGTTAACCTCTTGTTCCTTCATGGCCTACCTCTTCCTTGTGAATGATGTTGATCCTGGTCTTGATGTAAGGAAAGGCGTGTGATGTGGTAAGGATGGTCTTGCGTTTGAATTGCTCGTGCAGGTCCCCGTGGGCCCGGCCGTCCAAGGTGAAAGGAGTGCAGTACACAAAGCGCCTCAAGTTGTAGTTCTTGTCAAAGTAGGTAATGCGGTCTTTCATCTCGTAAGTGTCGAAGTACGGCTCCACGTACGTGATCTGGATGAAGGCCTGCGCACAGCAAAATGTTGTCAAATGACCAGGCGGGTTTGCTGCGGATCAATTTGACATGGTGATGAAGCTTTGGAGCACCAACCTTATTGGGGTCAAGTTTGCACTTATCTACAGGGTTGGAGTCCTTAATGACTTCTACCTGCTCCTCCCCGAAGCGCTCCCCATAGAAGCTCTAAGAGAAAAGAGGGCGGGGCCTTTACACTTCTGCTAGGTGTAAACATTTTAAATCGGTTATTCTTTTTTAGTTCAGGAGTTGAGGAGTTGTTGAAGAGCGATGCTGTGTACCTCGAGCCTGTGGGAGATTTCGGCCAATTTTGTGATGGCCGGCTCTTTATACACAAACTCCTGCTCATCCAAGTCGCCAAACTTTGAACCATAAAATCCCACTCTGAAGTACGTTCCAAACATCCTCTTCCCGTCCTGTGAGCAGAGACAAACACCTGTCAGAGGAATGTCTTCAACTCTGAATAAATGAAAACTTTAGACAAAAATCACAGCTCTCCACAGTGGCAGAACCAAGATCGACTAAAACTTGTGAAAGAGTGCGAAGCCTTCACTTTAACTACAACAGAAACAGGAGGTCTTTTGCAGAAGACAACCTCCTCCTCTGGGAAGTTAGGGTGAATGTGCCAAGATGTTCAATAATATTTAATTTCAAGAAGTACTCATCAAGTGCAGATGCAGCAATGTATAAATATCTTTGAAGATATATTAATATCTTTACAGTTAGTTAAAGGGTAGTTTTATCAATACATTCTGCCACAGCTGGCCCTTTAAGAAAATTTTTGATATATCTTGGTAAGGCCCAAAATGAAAAGAAGAGTCTGACATTCCTGGATTAAACATTCATCATCTGTGTCCTAAAAAAGCATGGTGTGGTATTTAGATTCCGGTGAGTAATGGTTCATCTAGAGATTTTGTAAATTAACAAAAGATGCACCAAGAAATGGGCTGGGAAGAGATCATTTATGTTTTGAACTGCTACTTGTCAGATGGAGATTGAAAAAAGAATAACAGCTCACAGAGGGGAGGTTTCTACTGAATAAAGACGAGGTTACAGATTGTCAATTTCAGTGTAATTAATTCAGAGCAAAAACACATGTAGCAAGCTATTCAAAAGGAAAATGTATTTTCTATAACACAGTGAGAAAAGTAAACAGTTCATTTAGCCTGCAAGAGAGAGAGCAAGACTTTCAGCAGCTAACAAGAAGACTGAACATACTTCAGTCTTCCATTGTTTCATTCTTTTGTTATGGAACATTCTTGATTTGAAAATGTTGATACTATTTTGGAAAGCTAACACTTTGGGAAACAATCTGCACTTTCTAGGGAAACTACAGATTGTCTATAGTCAAATTAGATAGTGTTGAATTAGAAATTTTTTTTAAATGGTTTTAAAGTCATCGCAGAGCAAACACTTGCTCACAAGTTATTAGAATTGTTAAATTGCCAGGTTTTGTTGAAGTAAGTACATTTGAAAAATGATTAAATATGAATACAGGAAGTCTTAGAGAGTTAAGAATTGGCTAAAGTAAGAATCAGCATATCAAAGGTTAAAAAAAGTATCTAGGAGAAGCCCAACAGCCCCCAGAAATGGTAACTTTCAACTGTTTTTCATTTAACAGAGTTCAAGTACAAACAAAGCAACAAAAAAAAAGTAGGAAAAGCAGACCACAGACGCTTCTGACTATTGCATAAAAACTGTTGAATTCAAGCCATGAATCAAAGCAACAGGAGGGCTTGCTGAATAAAAGCCTTGCATTTTTATTTGTAGGTGAAATTCAGAAAATTCTACCCTGAGAAACAACAAAAAAGTCAAGAAGTTTAACAAGAAAAAGAGACTCAAAGAAGAACAGGCATGTAGTTTTAAATTGCACAGGTGTGTATGTCAAAGTGTAACATTTCCTTTGTAGGATTTTACAATGTTATGGCTTGGTAGATTTTCAAAATATTTAACATTACAACAAAATGCCGTCAATACCCTTAAACTAAAGCACTTACCACAAGACACAATTAAGTAAAGTGGGAGGGGAGGGTCAGCAACCAGGCAAATCAAAAAGGAGAAAACAGAACAAATTTTAATCAGGATGGGGTTGCCCCCCGAATCAACAAAAACAACACAAACACAAGATCAAAAATATCTTCAGTGATTTGAAGAAAATGATTCCAGACCATGCGAGACGAAAGAAAAAGGGAACAAAGTCAGAAATAAAGAACCTTGCCCTTAAACACCACCATGCACCCTCCGTGCAATTCCAAAACAAGAAAAATAATAATAAGAAAAAAAAACAACCAGAATCTGAACCAACTCATGCAACAAACCATGAAAACTCACCCAGAGGTTAATAAAGTTAACACAATGAAAGGTTGGATGGAAAATAATAGTAATTAGTCAGGGGTCGATTTAGTTTATATAATTAAAAGAAAAAGTCCATCATAATAGTAACTTCAAATCAAAAGGAAAAAATCAAATAACTCAAAAAATACTGTTAGCTGAACCCTCACTGGAGAAAAAATTGGCAGCTTTAATAATCTGATTCCTGCTTCCACCCAATGTTTGCAACACCTTCATTAGAAAAGGCACCTAAAATTGAGTGAGGCAAGAAAGATCCGAGACCCTTCATGTTTAAACAGTGTACTGAAATCGAGCCCTGTGAATGAAGATGAGGGTGAGATGAAGTGTGACAGCGGGCGGTGTCAGTCGAAGAGCGAGCGCTGACTGACACCAGAAGACAGACAGAAGGCGAGGGAGGGCGGATTAGGAGCGGACTGTGCTGGCGACGCATTCATGTCGACTTTTTAGTCATTAGTGTCATCTCGTGGCTGTCATGCACAGCCCTTCAGCACTGTCGCGTTTGGAAAAAAAACAACAAAAAAACGAAAACAAGTTTCTCCGGCACAAAATGAGGGAAGAGACATGAAGACAGGTGAGGGCTTTGGTGAATAAATACAGCAACATCCCCAGCAGGGCAGACGGTTGGGAATGTCTGCAGCTGTTAATGGACTGAATGAATGAAAATAAAGCAAAGAGCAACAGAGTGCTCGCAGCTGGCAAATAAAAAGATGGAGAGTAAATGAAAATATTTAAAATAAAGATAAACATGAGCAGGGCCAAGCAGGAACTATTTAACCACCTACCTCCCAGCCAGTACTCTGTGTAACAAAGAGAATACAGGACATGTGAGGACAAGACATTCCAACCCCCACACACAGCGTGGTCCACACATGCACAGGATGATACGACCAAGAGAATTTCTCCTTCACAACTATTCAAGATTGGAGAAAATTCCATCTTATCCAGAATCAAATTAAGCAAATATCATTTAAGAAGAATAATTTTTGGTCACCACTGAAACTACACACCAAGTGATTAAACCAATGCTGACATCTCATACATCTTTTATTTCTTAAAAACAAATGAAATAAAGCATGCCAGGAGACTGACATATCCAAACAATAAAAAATCAAAATATGTACAGAAGATAAAATTATAAACAATAACAACGTGCAATATTGTGTCTGTGTGAAAGCCTGTTTCACTGCTGGGCTCCAACATGGTTCTGAATGAATCAATCAACCTTCGTACAATTAAATACTGATTTTGATCTTCTACACATTTGATGGGAGTGATAAACTTTCATTAGAAGGCGAAGGCTAGTTTGGACTTTTTCATTCTGTGTTCTGACTTTTTTTTTTTAAATGCCACTTGGAGATAATTAAAAATGAGTTCTCACAAAATCTACATGTGCAGCAAAATAACTGCTGATGATCACATTCAAATAACCTAATTTTCTTTATTAATAGCTAAATTAATTTTTGACTCGATAACTTTAAACTGTAAGCAATGCTTCTTCCTTTGTTTTATATTTACCTGATGGACAATTTTGCTAAAGGCTTCCTGTAGTTTACCATGGATGGTGGCTAGCTTTTTCGCGTCTCTGTTGGCTTCGTGGATTGGGATTAGCACCTTGTATACTTCATTCACTGCCTCATACATCCCGGCCTGGAGAGAAAGGAAACTTCAATAAAGTAGAATTATCCACTGAAACAACTAAAACTTCAGCATTAGTCCCATAGAAATTAGCATGACTGGATTCCTGATGAGCTTGTTTCTATTGTACAATTTGTTTTGATATAAAGATTTTCTTTCCTGCTGTGATTACCAATATGTACTCTGTCTGTTTGTCTATTCCATAGAGACATAGTGAAAAGGTGTCTTCTGTTTTCGCTGTTTTATCACTATTAAATTCGATAGATTCAGTGGAGTATCAAAATCTTAGAAAAAGCATTAAAACTCTTTCCAGACAATTAGATGTCAATGACTTTGTGTCTTATATTCTAATTCTACAGAACCTGCAGTATCTTGATGACTTGATGAAAAATCGGACTTGACATTTGTTTTGGACAAAAAGGAAGTAATCTCACCATGGAGAAGGAGGCAGCGGCCTGCTCCAAGAGGCCCACAAGACCGATTTCAGTGAAATATTTCCCAGAGCAGATACCCTCTTCATCTGGTGACACGACATCGTCAGAGACAGCCGATTCCTCCAGCACATTTGAAGAAATGTTCTGAAAATCATACAATAAGACATAAAAACCAAAATATATGGTAGCAAACTTGACCTCATTGCCACCAGACCCGTCCTTACCTGAAAGGTGACGCAGCCTACAGGAAGGTACTTGCGGTCCTCCAACATGCTCAGGTATTCTGCAACGAGGGCAGCGCTGTGCACCAAACACTGCGCCGCCTCGGCGTGATTGCTCCTTTCAGAGTGTTTTCCTGCCATGTTCTGCAGCCATGTCAGACGCAGGTCTGGGGATGTCTGGTATCCCTTCGCAATCCTGAAGGTCAGAACAAAAAATAGTTAGAACAGAGAGACAAAAACCAAAGAGAGATAAATTTATAGGTTCTTGGTTACTCATGTGTTTGTTACCTGTACATGAGATCTACCAACATCTCAGGATCTTCTTGGTGTTCCTTCATCTTCACTGTGTCAGACAGGATCATGTGCAGATTAAACACAAGGTCTTGGACCTGGGAGGACAAAAAAACAACACAAAAAAAAAACAAAGGAAAAAATTTAGGCTACATTTAATTTGCTCTAGTAAAATGAAAAGAAGATTTGGTGCTAAAATGAAAAAGATTAAGTCATAATTACTAAAATTAATAAATATCTGATATAGATTTGTTAAATGAGTACCTGATCTGGAAAGGTGGTCTCTCTGAGTTCTAGGTCTTCCTCTGCGTAGGTGAGGATTGTTTTCAACGAACGACGGAGAAACTCTTCATTAAAATTCTGAGACGTTCCGACCAGCGAGGACAGAGACATGGTCACCTGCATTTTCACTCTTGCAAAGTTCTAAAGATTAAAGACAAATAAAAAGAGGCGAGAAACAAGAATTTGTCACAAGTTTAAAACCTGGATTGAAAATGACTTGCATACCATGCAGAGAAATTGAACTTTTAATCCACATGAATCATTTTTAAAGCCATCTAGGATTTAATTTCTTTTGAGTTCTTGAAATGATGCCTTTAAATAAATCACAACAGTCATTCGCTCACGTCTGAGAGAAGGCATTTTAAGCTCTGCAGCAAATTGGTTGATGTTAATGAAAATAAATTGCTTTTGCATACTAGTTATATAACCTACATCGTAACAGATTTAAACTTCAAACACTAGAGAACAAATGCTGAGATCCAGCTATTTAGCGTTGGGAGCCTTTCAGTTTGTGGTTTTACTTACGTTTCCAATCTCAAAGTTTTGCCTCATGAGGAGGTAAAGGGAAGCGCTGGCGTGGGATCTGATGGTACTGATGCTACTGCTGCAGCTTCTCAGGAGTCGCAGACACAGATCCGCACACTGCTCTGTTTCCTCCTCAAACAGCAGCTCTGGAAACTAAACAAGCAAAGTTCAGCAAAAAAAGATTTATGAAGGACAAAGACTGAATAAAAAACAAACAAATCAGCATTTAAGTATTCCTAGTAGTTTAAAAATCCAACCTTGGAAACCAGAGCTCTTTGTGTGGCAAAACAGTGCTGAAGGTAGAGGGCGCTCTGGTTGCAAGCCATGCTGTGAAGCAGCACCTTTAACACCCCACCCAGAATGCTCTCCTTAGATTCAGTCACTGATGCCGTCTACAAGATAAACAAAGACAACATTATTTGAGAAATAAAAGAGATGCGGTATAAAAATATGAAAGTGTTTTCTCAGTCTTTCAATTAGCATAAAATCCTGCATAAAATCGCAAGCAGTACTTGGAGCATTTGTTGCTGTGTGTTTGCCTGCTTACCTGTACAACAATCTCCAGAGTATCAAGAATAATTAAGTTGGCCTCTGTTGCTAGGTTCCCATCTATAAGTGCTTCATGCTCCAACTCCGCTCGCGTCCTATCATCACAAAAAATCCAGAAAGGAATAAATTGCAATGGTAATATTTTGGCTTTAATATAGTCAGCACTTTCAACAAATGTCACAATTAGAAACTGTTTAAGGGTTAAAACATCTTTTTAATGGACAGGTTCTGTTATTTTTGAGACTCAGAATTGTACATAATGAAAACCTGTACATTTTACATATTTCTATCAAAGTCCAGTTTTAAATAAAAAGAACAAAAGTAACTGTATGTATGAAAGTGGAGTTAATTATATTTGTAATTATTAAATTTTTTCCATACAATTTTTATTGAGAATACAAAAACACTTTCTGGACACCTATGGAAGAATGCAAGTATAAGTGTAAATGTCAGTCAGTAATAAATACAACATAGAAAATTAAGGGTTGCACTGAAAGTTATATAATGATACAATCTGAGGCATTTCTGCAATTAATTTAAACTGTTCCAATGGTGTCTTATTACTGAATTAATTTATTCTAATAAGCATGTTTACTCTTACAGAAACCAATATGTATGTAGGAATGCCTCTTTCAACTAAATATAAACTTAAGGCTAATGTCCTAACCATCTAGGAACATATCTGATGTTTGGTGCTGTAGCCTTTGCCTGCAGCTAACCTGCACTATCTGCCTGGTCAGATAAGTATGACCAAACAGGGTCAGGGTCTTATTAAGATTAACACTAACATCTAAGTGCATTTAACGTGGGTGCAATCAAAAGCTTTTCAAATAATATTTCAGATTAATTTGACTTTCTAAACACTAATGAAGAGAAACTTGTGAATAAGAACAGCTTGTACCCCTATTCGCAATGCAAATAAGGGAGAACTATACTACAGACAATAAGTTGGATAGAAATGCTGAGCAATGACAAAATATGCTATCTGAAGCATAAATTTACAGTCTATAAATGTGAAGAACAAGGAGTAGTTCATGTTGGATCTAAATTTATATATAAACCAAACTTGTCTAAACAGTAAATTTTCAAGTGCTAAATTATCTACATTGCCACATATCAAAATAAAACATGTTGGGCTTTTAATCATGTCACTCTTTAATTGTATCAAAAATTACATGAGTTCATAACAAATTGGCAGCAGCACCAGATACACATAATACTGGACTTGTAGCATACTGGTTAAAAAGCCAAACACACCCACAGCAACCACTATCAACCCAAAAGCAAACGATGTTACCGCGACAAAGGGAGTGGAGGGACAAGGGATCAGAATCAGGATCAGCGGGGTCTTTGTTTATGCCATCATGCCCATGTGAGACTTAAACTGTTAAAATGGAGAGCAAATGAGTAATGAAAACCTTGATGATTTCCCTGTATAAATAGCTAGTGCTTGTCATAAGAAACACAAATATATCAGAAAATTATTTACCGACTGGTCCAAAGTCCAGTACATCATGTTGTAACTGAAACAAACATTTCGTTTTCCACTTTAACTGGCTCACTTCCCACATGTATGACAAAACACCTTAAATGAGGCTCTAAAGCAGAGGGCAACTCAAAGCAGCACACGACAAATGTAGGCCATACAATACCTGACTGATCTGTGACTCCTACATAAACACACAGCGACATGAGAGAACACATGAAAATTAACACAAAAACAAAGCTGGAGGTAGACTTTAAAAAGATGTGAAATGAAATGAAGACCAAGCAATAAGGAGATTTTTTACTTGCTGGATAAAAAAATGGTAAGTTTCTATATTAGATATGTTTTCATAATTTAAAAAAAAATCTGAACAAATAATCACAAAAACCCCAATGGCTGCAAAACATGTTATCAGAGTTGTCTTGATAAAAACTTGCCAGAATATAAAATCTAATGTTTTCCTGATTTATGAGGACTGACAGACCTTAATTGAGTGGCATGTTCTCATCCGATTGACCATTGTGTCATTTCATACTTATGCCACAGGGAAACAGCTTAGTAAAGACATATATCTATGTCAATTAACAGAAGAACACATCTGCAAAATATTCTGAAGTCATATGAGGCTGGATTTTTAAAAAGTACAATAATGATTGAATAAATAAATAAAAACAAATAATATAAAACTAGCAATTTCATAAAAATAAACATGAAAGCTAACCACTAAGCTGCTTGTGAGAAAATATCTTCCAAGGTTTGGGATCTAGTTGAGAAGCAAATAAATCAAATTAGGACCGGAAACTAATTTTACCTGAAAAAACCCCGGCTCCATCACATCCACTCACTCAGCGCCTTGAATTCACTGTACATATTTGTTGTTGACGCTTTTTTAATTTATTTGTGAGAAAAGTAATTTGTGTCTGTTCTTTCAGATAAAAAAATCCTGACACTTCGAGAAAATATGAGCAATAAACGGGAAAAGGTTAACCACTTGGTTGATATAGGGTTCACTATATGAATGATCAGAGCTTTGATGAGTTCAAACATTACTTAAATTTAACCAAAATTGTACAAAACCACACAACAAATATACACCTTCATTATTCATTTACATAAAATATACTGACTAGGCTTTCTGGCAAATAAAACTAGAGTGGTAAAGAATAACTTTTAAGAGAACATACTTGTCCATCCTTTCACTGTTTTGTCTCCAGTGGGTCATGTCCTTCCTCCACCGGAGGTTTTCTTGACTGCCAAAAGCACTGCCAGATGGACTCCGCTCTAAATTATGGAGAAACATTATTTACTTTATTCAGCAGTGGTAAAAAAGGTTGTGTTTACCCTAGGAAACAACTTCTTTTGGCAGTAGCTTTATCTGATAATTGATATTAGGTACACGTGTCTGTGGCTGTACACTGTTTGTTAATTTCCATTTGAGCCAAGCACTCTGTTGCAATTTATGAAACTTAGCTGTTTGTTTTTTTTCTTTTGCAGGTCTTCCTACATGTGCATGTGACAGTGTGTAGACCCACCTAGCTGTCCGCGGCTGCGGCGCACCATTTCCTGCCTGGCGCCGATGCTGCCAAGTATGGCTTCCTCCAACTTGGCCTTCATGTCTTTGGACTTCTTAAACGTTAAACTGTTCATGCGCTCGAATGCCTTCTTTCCCTGCATGGTGAACACAACATGGGCCTTGTTTCCATGGAGAGCATGGTGAGTGACAGGACAGAGAACACACAGTGCGGGAAGTTACTTGCAGAACAGAACCAGCAAGCAAAGCAAGTTAGTAGCTAAAGCACACAGAAAGAAGAGCAAGCAGCAAAGATGCAGCACTGCAGGAAGTTTATCTAAAGCAAAAGCAAAAACCAAATAGAAAACTGGAGCACAAGAAGCAGCACAGTGGACAAAGCATGATGATGCTTTTGTTTATCATGTTTTGAAAAATGTACGACCATCTTTCACAAGAATACTGGAAAAGCAGCTATTGTCTACTGTTGCTTATGGTGTGGGATCTGTGTTGCACAAAATGGTACAAGTATTAGTGTGTCAAGTTTGTCATGGCACTGGTACTTTGTTTGGCGTGTGGGTTTAACCCAGACATTGGCGTAACGCTCAGTGGAAACACAGAATTCATAGAATCATGAGCCGTTTGAATACTAGGATATTGAAAAAAAATTGGTTGATTGTACGGTGATAAAATCTAGTTTTCATTCAGTATTTCCAGAGGACAATCAAAAAATTAACCTCATTCCATGGAAATCTCAGCCCTCACACATAAATTCTACAGAAGCCTTGAGAGACACAAGTACAAGAGAGGAACCAGGACTCTGAAATATCTAGAGAAATTGTGCAAACAGCAATGGTCAAAGATCTCTCTCTGTATGCTTTAAACTTGTGAAATGTTAGATTACCTGGTTTACTATTGGAAAAAGTGTGGTGTATAAAAACTTTGTTGCTGCAGTACCAACAAACTTAACACTGGTAATTTTTGATGAAATATTTGTTTCCCAACATGTTTATTTTTCCTGACCAAATAAATCTACTTAAATTACTAGATATCTCTAGTAACTTTTCTAGATATTTCATTGCAAGTATATCCTACAGCAACAAAAGAATAATTTGTTTCAAGGCTTTTCTTAACCATCTTTAGAAGAGTAAATTTATCCATCTCATCAGGGATGCTACCTTGTACTCAAAGCAAGACACGCAGAGGTAGAGGAGATCCAGCAGGCGGTTGAGCTGAGACACAGACAGGTCTGTAAACCATTTCTGCAGCACCAGCTCGTCGGCGTTCTTCAAAACCCAGAGCAGACAGATCAGCAGACTGCGGCTCGACTCGGCCGAGAAGCTCCCATGCTGGCGACCCGTCTGGAGAGATTTCCCAGATCAAATCACAGGGAGGAAAAACGACAACAGATGGGCACAAGATGTGGTGAGACACTTTAATTAACTGACTCATTATGTCACATAGTGAGCAGCAACCTACCTGTGAGTTCAGCAAAAAGCTACTTGGTCGGGACATTGGAGATGCGGTTGAGGTACCGGCTATTGCCATGGCAACAGTCTGACTGATCATACTGTTGCCCTCTCCTTCTGCTTCTTCTCCCCCACTACCCACAGCCATACCTTGGGGACAGCCAGGCCGACCCCACTGATTGTGCGACTCTAATGTCATAAAAAGAAAAGAATTACAAATGATAAAAATGTATCATATATAAAAATACAGAAAAATCCATGATAATTCTAAAAATATTACTTAAAAGCAAACGCACAGACTTTGCGTTAGACCTTGGACACAAGAGTACACAGTTTAAAAAATAGCACAAAATATAAGATAAGGAATGTTAGAGATTATCAGGGAACATGATGTCAAGGGGTGCCATGCTTTGAAGCTCAACTGATAACCTTAAAGGGTGCAAGGTGGTGTTGCTATTTAAAGTCCAAATGCAACAGTTAAAATCCTATAGGATTTTATAAAAAAAAAAAAAAAAAAAAAAAATCCTATAGGTAACTGGCATTTCGTCACATTCTGTTCCAAATTATTTTCCTGTGACCAAATGTCCAAATTTCCCAAATGGATTGTTCCTTTCTAACTTTCTGGAAAGAGAAATCTGATAAGAAAAAAAAGTGAGCTAAGTGCCCAGATTTGTCACATTTGACAAGAACAAATTTGAAAATATTTCAGATTGATTAATATTCAGAAAGCCTGAAATGATCCTGAAAGCAGGATTAGCCCCGATTAGTCGAGTACTGATATAATCGTCAATTAATTTGTTACAAATTCTAACTGGAGTAGACTCATAAAAAGGCCATAAGCTGAATGAAAATAGTACATTCTAAGACATAATTAAGCCAAAATTATATGAAAAATCTGTACAATTTGAATTTAAGATTAAAAACACCTTTGTAAATATATTTTATTCAAAACTCAAGTGACCTAGTTTTAGCCAAAATGCTAAGATATTACAATTCAGACAGTAGAATAGCATTTTTCTTATTTATAAAGGGAATTGAATTGTTTATTTCCACATTTTAACACTAAAATAATCACTAGTTGCAGTTCTGACAGAGATCGGAACTACACAATTTCTCAAAATGCTGTAATAGAATTTTTTCTGCTCACTAAATGCAACAAAAATAAAAACTTCCAAGATTCTGCTAAATAACCAAGCAGGATTTGTGTAGGATAAATATCAAAGAACCTCCAGTACAAAAAGATCAAAATCTGAATGAGCAGGTCAGACAAAGAAAAAAACTGAAAAAAGTTGAAAGATTTTTTTCTAATTATAACAACACTGATTTTTCTGTTACATCCCTGCAATCCTTGCAGAACTGCTGTGAATTTGGAGAACGTTTCATGCCATCATGAGTTCACATAATTACTCCTAAATGAAAACTTCTGAACTCTACCTGTGAAATCATGGAGCTGCGGCAGCGTTTCCATTACAATTCCAATAAGAGGTAGGTAGAGCATAGCGACCCGAGCCTTGACCTCTGTGTCAGCATAACGAGGGTCAGAGTCATGGCTTGACAGGAGGTTGTGAACAACGCTCACCACTTTCTTATGGAGACCAAACATTCTGAAGTCAAACATTTAAACAAAGAGAATATTAATGTAGAGCACAAACAGAATCTATCCATTTTTATATCACCTTTACGAACACACTAACCCCTCATTGTCTGGATCGAGTATAACAGAAAGCTCAGACAGCACGAGCCCAGCCAGGTAATGTTGCTCTCTGAATGGGATAGAAAGCTCAAACATGTTGGCTATCTTTTGGTCTTGGACGTGAGTGGAAAACCCAGAGCTCTGCTTAAGAAAAAGGCAACAATTATTATATGATTTGAGGCCAGTCACACAGCAACTACCATAGTCTAAGTTAATTAAATTCAGAGTATCTGGCAGTTGAGTGTTTCTGACTGACCTGTGAGGTTGCCGAGGACACTGACGGTGAAGGCGAGGCAGGTGGGGTTAGCAGACTGCAGGGCAGATTCAGGGTAACGTAGTGTTCATGACTACAAACGATTCTTAAAAAATCCAGCCGTAAAGATTCCAGAGTTGGGTTCTGCAAAGCATAGAGCTTTGTCGACACCTAAACAAAAGAAAATTGAGTAAAGGAATATAAATCTTCAAGCATGGTGCAGTGCGTTATTTAAGATAAAAAGAATTGGAGCATATGTAGTCAAAAGTCCAAGTAACATTTGGAGCTGTGATCTTTTTGAAATACATTCAAAATGTACAACGGCAATTTGATGGTCAGACTGGTTTCATGTTGGATTTCCATGTGTTTCCTAATTTAAATTTCTAGTTCTCAAATTATTTTTTAGATAATTTTCAAGTAAAAACACAAAATTACTCTGGATTTGAATATATTTCTACTGCAGTCAGGCTTCAAAACAGCAACATGTGAATGCAGGAGACCATAAGGAAGAAAAGAGATGGATGGAAAAATGAACTGGGAGAGAGACAAATTGTTAAACAAATGACAAGCAAAATGCAGGAATTAATTGATGGATGGATGGATAGATGGGTGAAGTAATGATAAGCACCTGTTTCCAATATGTCTTGATTAATGTGAAGACAAAACCTCGGTCCATGACTGACAGCAAATCATTGAGGAAGAAGGCCAGACTAGTGTTTATCCTCTCCACCAACTCCAGATCCTGAAAACATGACAAGTACAAACATATTTTTTTAATCTTAATTCATAAACAGTTGTAGGGTGTAATTATAGGGCCACCTACATTTGTTAGCAAAAACTCAAACCAAACCAATGTCAAAATTTCAATAATTATCTCTCTTTTCTTGAGTAAGCAGGAAGTCTCTGAGTAACCAACTGTTGAAAAACAAAACCCTCCAAATCCCCTAAGCTGATATCTTAAGAAACTCTACTTCTTGAGCTATTAGCCGATATCACAAGAAGGTCTTCATTTACCTTCTGGAAACGAGAGACAATGTCTCCAGCAATGGTGCTGACCAGCGCTGTGATGTCATCCATAAAGCGCTCGGGAAATCGGTTTTTCCTTGGCGACTCCAACCGCTCGGTAAAGTAAAGGTGGTGGATGATGCTCTTTACCTGTAGTGTTGGTTTTTGATGAGATAACATATGACAATGTCATGTTTTTGCAAAAGGTAGTAATGAGAAAAAACATGCCATGCAAAAATAATCTCCTACCATCAGTTCAAAGAAAAACCAGGCCTGTTGCAGAGCCCCCTCCCGAACACTTCCACTGCTCACCACCCACTGCAGGGCCAACTCCTCATGAAAGAGCTGGGTGGCAAATTTGAAACATAAACATCGAGAGATGGAGGGGAGAGACAAGGACGGAGAGGGAAACAACAAGCAACAGAGCCACGGGAAGACAAAAGTAAGATTCCTGAAAAAGTACAGCAATTATTTTCTGGCACAGATTTGTAGCAGAGCAACACCTGCAGTCCTTACTACAGCTGTTCCCTCCCCTACTGAAGATGTGAAAAAAGCCTTAAAATAAATACATCTTTCAGATTCAAACTGTAAAGACCAGAAAAATCTAAATGGTGCTTGATTAGCAACAAAGGCTCTCTGTGTGCTAGAAGTGAGCTCATGGGTGATAACTGCCAATCAGAATCCCACATTTAAAACTCTGGAGCTAAGTTCTGTTTGACCAGTCAAATTTAAAACACTGACACAATAAACTAAAAAAGATAAAAAACTGTTCAACTATAATAAACTACTCAGGCCCTTAACTCAGTTATGACGACGTAAAGGCTCTGAACTGGCTCTTGCACCAGCCTGAATCAAAAATCTAAACATCTCTAATGGAAAATTATTGTGTGTTGCTGTGGACCTTTCCCCTCTTGAGAAACTTTGTTGAGTGCATGTATTACTTTTAAGGCTCTTTAAACACATTTTAAATATAGAGGGCACTACAATACCTGTAAAATAACATTTTGAAAAAAAAGCACTTGATAAAGACTTTGATAAAACCTAACTGGCTAAAATTCACGGGATATTTTTGTGCAAAGGAAAGGACCCAATTCAGTAAGAAAACTACATTCTATGAAATAGAATAGATTATCCAGAAGGCATCTGAAAGTTTAGTGCTTCACTTCAGAAAAACATTTTTAAACAGAGATTAAATAACCAAAGAATAATGATTGTGTGGGGTGTAAATAAAATCTAGTTTCTATTTAGTCTGTAGCATTTCACAGTGAAGCTGACAACGCTATTTAGTTTGAAAAGTTTTTATTGCTAAAAAAATTCCAATCAATAAATTTCCCCTACTGTAGATTCAAACCCAATATTCAATGTAGTCTGGCTAACACACCAACTTTTGCCTGGCAAGTCTTCCCTAATTGTGTTCACAAAGACAAAAATGAGAAAGAAAATATACAGTGACTAATTGTCAAGCCAAAGAAGTGTTAGACTGTAGATTACACAACCTGACAGAATTTATTTTAATCTCAAACAGAAAAAAAAATCTTTGAGTATCAAATGGGTTTAGAAAAGATTTTCTGTACAATACTTATACATTTGCAAAAAAGAAGCAAAAACAAAATAATGCAGATTTTTCTGACTGGGAAGACTTCCAAGATAATGTGAACACCTCACAGTTAGGTTTAGCCAGACTGTAAAAAAAAAAAAAAAAAAAAGTAAAACATTCAAACCCTCTTAAAATATCAACAAGAGGCAAAAGTATTGGTATACAGCATTCAACGAAAACAACACAAAAACCAAATACGACATCAACCAATCCAGAGGCACACATCCACAGACAGAACAGGTGAGGAGGCAGAGACAAAGAGGGCAGGATTGGCTCCTCCCCCAGTGCAAGCGGCTCTACCTTTTTAGTGGGTAACCGTCCTGTTAAAGTTTGCAAGAAACTGGCGCTCTCAGTGTGCGAAGACATGCGATTGCCACAGCGCTCCATGGCCTATGGGTGGGATGAATGGAACGGTGACAGCAAGATTAGTGGAGGAGCAACAAAAGTGTGGGGCCATTACTCAGCACGTGAGCCACTGGGACATTGTGCTGGGTCACGCATTCCCCACATATACATGCACAAAACACTTTTTTTTGTGATTGTGTTGCTTTTCAGACATGAGAACACAAAACAATTAAGACACGGGACGGGACCACAACAACTAAATGTTGTGCCACTAAGCAAGAAGAACATTGGCTTGAATGCCCTACGGTAGAAATGCAAAATGGCTGCATACAAGTGTTTAAGTGATATTTTTCTGATGTAGTCATTGTGATGACGCACCATTCTGCATCCCCGCAGGTTATTACAAGAATGAAGAGACATTGAAATGACAAACACTGATAGCTTAGCCTACAATGTCTGGAGTTTATTTTGCTTTAGCAGTGCATTTCAAAAGTAGTCATCCCCCTTACACTTTTCAACATTTGGTGAGATTATAACCACAAACTTCAATTTATTTCTTTGCTTTTTATGTTACTGACCAACACAGAATAAAGTGTAATTGTGACATTGAAGAAAATAATAAATAATTTCCAATATATCTAGTTACAAAATTGAAAAGCATGACGCATATGTATTTAGATGCCTTTACTCTTCATAATTTGCTTTGATCTAAACAATTTTATGGTAGCTGTAACTGTATCTATAGGGATTGTAGCCTGCTGAAGTCTCATGACTTCAGGACAGCCCAGTATTCATCACTATTCCCACATCATGATGCTGCCACCATGTTTCACAGTGGTAATTGTGTAATAAGAGTGATATGAAGTGTTAATGGCCAATACTAACAACACAAGCTATCCATCCATCCATTTTCTAACACCCTTGTCCCTAGTGGGGTCGGGAGAAGTGCTGGTGTCTATCTCCAGCTAAGTTTACAGGTGAGAGGCGGGATTCACCCTGGACATGTCGCCAGTCTGTCGCAGACAAGCCCTTAGACTGTATATTTAATTATCTGTGCTATTTGAATTTAGTCTTTTGGTAGGTTTTTATACTAATTTCTCAAGTTTTTATGCTTTGCCTTTGTGAAGCACTTTCTAGTAACTTCCTGTGAAAATTGCTAGAAAAACTATTTATTGACTTGAAGTGTTAGTTTTCCTGGACACAGTATTTTGCTATACATCTTCATTCATATGTTTATGAAAGCAAACCATCTGGACCAAAAAAGAGCACCAACGGACTTTCCTGGTGAACGTTTTTATGCTAGCAGTTTGTAATTAATAAAGAAAGCCACACAAGTGATCATCATTGCTACATTTGTACAGAAATGATTGGGACACAGACCTGGAAAGTAAGCAAAGTCCTCAGTGCTGCATTTCTGTTGTGCACATTTGTGCTATTATTACAACTGCAAAACCATTATGGATGTCAAGAGCAGCTCATTTGTTTCACAATGTGGTATTTCAAATTTTGGAATGGTGTCAGCAAACATGAGCTGCTAAGTGAAGGAGACCAGCGTCGCCTTGATTCAATAGACAACAGCTGGCAACAGAATTGCAAAGCAGAAAACTGTGAATCTGGTGTAATTCCAGCACAATTAGTACATGCAGCTCTGCCTGAAGTCCAAAAAGATGTACATTTTCTGGCTTCAGGAGCAAGCCACACCAGAGCTCATTTGAGTTGAGTGTATTCACACCTACCCAAAAGGTCCAGACCAACGAGAGACATTACCTGTGGTCTTTTAAAGCAGGCCAAATGTGTCAGGTGTGAATACACCATTGGGGCAGCATTGAATGCTGCCCCAATGGAAGTCCAATTGGTGTCATTTGTCCAACTGGCCCCATTTGTCCCACCAATGTGTTGCTTTTCGTAGGCAGCCCTGTCTTTGAGGCATATTATTGGAATTTTGGATTATGGGTTCTTGGAATGTCTAAAGCTTGGGATAATATTTTATAATCTGATAGTGCTTTAAATATTCATATGCTCATGTCTGTCTGCTGTATACCTCAGTCTTCATGGTGCTGTTTGGTCACTAATGATTTCTAACAAATGTCTAAGGTATTTACAGAATAGCTGCATTTATACTGAGATTAAATTATATCCTGGTGGATAGGTGTTAAATAATTTGGTGACTAATGAAAGCAGGTGGTTGGACTGGGTTTAGTTTTGGAGCATCAGAGTAAAGAGGAATGAAATACAGTGACGTTTGTGGTTGTATATGATAAATTGTGGAAAAGTTAAAGGGGTATGAATAATTTCCTGAGGCAAATTTAGTGGATAAAATAGAATACTTATAATTTCATAAACAAACACAATCCTATCTTGGGAGTCTTATTAGATTAATATTTTAAGTAACAATGCCTATGTCATAAAAAACTTGAAATGAAACAGGAGTAATCCTTAAATGAAAATGTGTGGTAAGAAGCTCACATGAGTTGATACACATTCACACTCACCAATATAGAAATCTTAATAGACAAAGTGAATAGAAAATATAGGGTGAGTCAAGTCATGCAGGTGAAGAAAAAGAGACAGAGAGTGAACAACAAACTGGCATGACAATTGAGATAAATTCTAACACTACTCTTTTTCTTCCCCATCAAAAAACAATGTGATTAAAGTCTTTATAATTGGAAGATCATGTTTCTGTTAAATGTTTGGGCAATGTATAATTATTGTGATAAGACCTATGATGAAATATGAAAAGAAAGAAATGGAGAATTATCGTCCCAAATTTGGATATCTGAGTCTACATGATTTTCATGCAAGTAAAAGAAGAAAAAGAGAGGCATCAGATGTGAGAAGCAAAGGGTGTTGATATCTGAAACCTTTTTCATAATTGGCAGCGACATGAGTCTTCAGTGATCCAATCACAATTCAGCAAAAATGATGAGAAATTAACAATTTGTCTCACTTATTATTGTTAGCCTTTTCTAAAATGAATGGGTAAACAAAAAGACTTCCTTCATATTTTTTTGGAATAATCAATACTTTCCAAACTAAAAAAAAATAGTAAGTTTTTCTTCTTTACTTCATTAGTTTGTTCGTTTTCAGCAAGCAGCCCAAAAATTACAATATTTATATCTAATATGTTAAACTTAATTTTTCATGTGCGAAACCATGATTAACAGTCACATAAATGTAAAAACTTTGTTACACATGAAATGTGTATGTATGGAGCACAAACATTTTCTGTTATAACAACCCAACGTAACCAGGGATATATAACAATGTGTTTTATGTATCCAATAAGATGTTAGTTGAGAATCTACATTACATCGATACAACTAAAATAATCTGAGCACCTTTGAATATGGTCTGCTTTCAAGTCTTGAGATGTCGATTTATTGCTGGATCACTGAAAACAAATATTAACGCCATTTTTGAACAAGGTCTAGGATGAAAGGGAGGTCATGGAGGCGGCTGTGACTCCCATGAGTGAAATCATGGAAGAATTGTGGTTTAAAGATTAGGAAAATGCTGTAATATTCTAAAGTATTGGTCTTTCATGTCACTTTTAAACATTATACATGACTTTTTTTATGGAGTGCCAAAAGTGTCACAATGTCATAATTGAACACTTAAATGAGTAAATAATTTAAATTTTAATAAAAATGATCTTGAAAGTAATTAAAACATAAATAAAGACATTATAAATTATGTACCTAATTCAATATAAAATTAATTCACCATAGTCAGAAACCATCCTATGTTTCTAGGCTACTGGTGCAGTGATTCATGAAGGTCAGTGTGACTCCCATTTAGATTTTTCACATCTGATTTAGTCATTTGCACAGAATGTTAACTTTACACCAATTAGATATGACCAAACCGGTACTGACTCCAAGCATCAATTCATAATGTCTTGTAATCTATGACCAAGAAATAATTAATGGGTATTCTGCAAATTCCAAGGTGTTTTACTGAGGACATTTGAGTCCATTTTTAAGACCCTTTAAATTCTAGACCTATATGGCTCATATTATATTATCTAAAAAAATAATTTAATTATTTCGAATAAGAATAAACTTTAAAGGCCAAGCTTGTACACACAAACAAGGAATATGACTTGGGTTCCACATTGCTCTCAATGTATGGACATTTTCAATATAAATAAAAAAAATTTCAAGGGAAATATTTTTTTTTGTTTTGTTCTGGTCTTGTAAATCAAACTAAAGTCATTGCAGACTTGGATAACTATTTTCAATAAAACTAGATTGCTAAATTTACTTACGGTTTAAATTAACTATATATTTGTATTTGACTACAATAGTGGTAGTTGTGGGTGTTAGGAACCCGTATGTCAATAGCTAAAATCTGTGAAGATTTGACACCATCAAGTCATATGCAAAACACACAGTGGAAACTGTCTTCACACTACCATGCTAAAGCTAATATCTACAATCTACCTTATGTTCGCTCTTGAACGTACAGCCAATGTGCACCAAGGAAAACAAATGCTGTTCCTGGATTGGCTGCTTTGCAAACAGCAGCTAATGATCTACAGTAGCATTGCTGCGAGGTATTTTACTTTCTCCGGTTCTATTTTCTTTGGAATATTTTATGCATGTTTTAACTTTCATTAAATATGGCACTTTTGGACCTCTACAATTTTAGTCTCCTTAGTTTTGTTGTATACAATCAACAGTGGTTGACAATGAAAGTAATGTGACTTAAGGATATTGTAAGCTTTTTATAAAAGAGTTTGAAACTACAATGTATTCACTTTTCTGTGACCATCAGCAACAACAACAGACCAAAACTTCAAATATTCCAGTATCCATTCAGTGTGAATAAGGTTGTTCTTGTAGTGAGGCAAAGTGAAGGACGGGGCATTCATAAAACCACCTGCATGGTTTCTGGAGCGGACCCAGGGCTGGATCCCCAGGGGGCACTACAGCCCATGGTGTGCACCCAGGAGTTGGAGCGGTCTAAGCCCTATGGGTGCCAAGGTCAAAGGACACAAGGCAGGCAGGAGGCAAGGAAACAAGCGAGCAGCACGGGGGGGAAGGAGGAGGGAAGGAATAATGACAAGTTAAAGAGGTTCAAAAGTCATGACTGCTGGAAGATGCCAAAGGCCCCCCAAAAAGGTTAACTGTCAGAAAATTAAGATTAAAATCATCACCACAGAGAAGCAAGGCTGAAATATTCTTCATATCCCTTTCACTATGAGCACAAATAAAATGAGGTTTAGTTAAATATTAGCAGAAAGGGGGAGATTTATCAATAAAGGGCTGCATCCATCATATAATGGTTACAAGAAAGCAAGACTGTTAAAAAAGCACATTCAATCATTCACACTGAGTAAAAAAAAAGGTTTAAAGTGGGAAATCTCAAATTATACGAGTCAAAATGCATGAGAACAGATAAATACAATGAAATAAGATACCAAAGAAATCCAATAAAAACATGAATGGAACCATTTGTCATTGCTTCAAAAATATGTCACTGACAATATTTACTAATTAGTGTGAAAGAAAAAGCGCTGTAAGCTTTTTAGATACGTCTGTCAGTGACAGGTTGATGTTACAACAGTTAGAGATAAGATGTTCAATTTTATGTTTGCAGATTAGCTATACAGTTCACATGGTGACAACACCCCAGCTGGGTCATGGTGCACATCGAGGCCTCAGCGTCATGTAGGTTAGGAAGTATAGATCCCTTTCACCTACCTTTTGGGGTCAGGCTACTTCCCTAATCAATGAGTTAGATTGTAAAAATGCTAAGTAATTAACCATAGTATTTAGCAGCAATGTAACATTTTTATTAAGGATTCTTGTCTGAGAAACTTGACATATGAAAGAAAGTTAAAGTCATTTTTGACCCTCTTACCTTGCTTCCGATTATGGAGCGAACTTCATCATCAGGAGAGGTGGGCGTACCAGATATGTCAGGGTTACTGTTGCTCAAGCTACGGGAGCGACTGAGGTTGAGGCTGGCTGGTCGAACAGCTGAGCGAGCCATGGTGGCATAGTGAACCGAACCGCCCAACCCTCCAGGACCTACAACATAGCAGAAAGGGAGACATTGGATGTGACGAGTAGCGTGTGTGAGGAGGTGGAACCACAGCAAACCATAAGGTTGCAAGTCTATAAATTCTAATAAAGCTCAATAGACATTTTTCACGTCAATAATCATACTTTCCATCACTTAAATCTACAAAAAGATTATTACACAAACTACAGTGTTTCAAAGAGCAGTTGTCAACGGCATAGAGATGAATTGTGATAATATAATGAAAGGGGAGTGTCAGAAAGGTTAGGAGTTTCTTAAAGAGACAGAAGCCAAATTCAAGGAGACAGGTACAACTATGATTTAAAATCCAATTTCTTTTAACTGTTTTAGGTATATACAGCAATTTTATAATAAGGTCACACTGATTATGGTATAAAATGGAACCATTTGCTTGGAAAATACATAATTAAACATTTTAAATACAAATACAGACATTTTTCAATGAACATTCATATTTAAACATGAAAGAAAAACAATATTTCAAACAAATCGATCAGGAAGAAAAACAAGTGGGTGGGTGGATGGATTTCTCTCTTTTTTCCAGAGAACTTGATATGCAGCTGGATTTAAAAATGTGTCTTAAAAAAATAGAAAAAAATTATGAAAATTAAAATAGTCTGAGGTGAAGAGATGACAATATTTACGTGAAAAACTGCATATTATAATGTAGAGTAATGGATCATATATACCTGTTAAAGATGAGTTGTTGTCTGTGTTGGGCAGGCAGAAGACAAAATGGATGAGGAAGGAGGGGAAAAGGTCAAAAGGTAAAAAAAAAAAAGAAATGGAAGAGAAATTAAGGCAGACGGGTCTGATAAAAGACGAGCAGTGAGGGTGAGCTGGAAAATTAATCCAGTTAACAAAACAAGATGAAAAAAAGATCAGGAATAAAGAAAGCGTAAAATTAAAAGTGTTGGCAGTAAAATACCTGGTGATGGCGAGTTAGGATCTGTGCTGGGTAAGCGGAAGACGTAGTGGATGTAAGAGGACAGTAGGCTGTTGCGGCCATGCATGTCCTGGCTGGTGTCCAGGTACTTGTGAAGCCGGTTCACTACAGACGCCATTACCTCGAAGGATGCTTGACCTAGATTCACTGAAACACACAAAACATTACAGCTTTCACTGTAAAGCCAAACGCACCGGAACAGAAAGGTGCCACACATTCAATGTGTCCATCTCTTTCAGTTTTCAGTACACAGTTTCCTTTCTCGTCAGTGTAATCCAGAATCATACCGATTTGTCCAGCGATGACTGGCGGTCGAACTACAAGCAGCACCAATTTGTCAAGAAGAAGGTGAAGGAATCGAACCACCGGCTCCAGCTGAGCCGAGTTGAGTGCTGCAATGCTGGATTTTAGCTCTGTCTCAAGGTTGTTTTCCATGATGCGCATATCTCCAATCCTGACCGGAAACACATGCTCATCCAGGGCATGCACCAAGGCAAAAAACTTATCCAGGTACTGGTCCTGGAAAAAGAGGGAGACAAGCCTGAGAAATGTTTTGCTGATGTATTGGTAATAAGTTGAGAAAAAAAGATAATGAAAAAAAGGAAATAACAAATAGATAACTGGAGATGCAACAAAAATTAGGTAATTTATTGACTATTTTTGATTGTCCAGATGGAGTATGAAAATCTGATGTTTTTCTAGTCAGTGAACACACCATTCTTGAAACTCAACCAAATTGTGAAAACAGCGTCCTACTTCCACAGTTGTCACTCTCATAGAGTGGTTAACTTTTAATCTACTATCAAAAAAATTGTGTGATATAATCTTTGGACTGTTTTTCATGAATCATTGTTTCAATTCCACAATAAAGTAGAAATAAAGTATTTTGTTATTTATAGAAGAGAAAATAGGGACAAAAAAATTTAATCGACAAGTCAGAGCTTTATAAACTTTCTGTTAAAAACTTCTCAAATTTCAACTGAAACAATTTAAATACAAGTTGTGCAATAAGTTCCATGTTTTAAAGTTGGCTCGTCGAGTGAAAACTGAAAAACGAACTTTACCACAAGAACATGTGGGAATCTAACAACTCCAATCTCTCCCAAGAGCAGTGATTTATGAGCACATTAGCCGCAGTAAGGCTTCTAAGCCCCACGCTCAAGTCTCCAAACAGCAGCTGATGTGGAGATGGAGTAAACCTCAGTAAATTACTGGCAAGGTAACACTTAGCTATTATTAAAGTAGTATTAGGAAGGAATTATGGAGTTCAGTTGGAAAAACAAGACTTCAATTTCTTTTTAATTCAAAATGATTACCGATCCAAAAGTTATGCCAGGAAACAAAGTAGTTCTTTATTCAGAGGAGTTATTTTGTAATTATTAACAACCTACATCAAAATATAAGCAGATAAAACAATCACATAAGAGGGCGAGAGCTAATCTGAAAAAGTAAAAAACTGTACTAGATTTTCTGAAGCTGCAGCATGAAGTAATTTTACCTGCGTGTGGATAGTTGAAACAGCCGCAAGTTCCACATTAAAGACTCCTCGATGGTTGTCTACCCACTTCATTCCTGGGAGGGGAACCTGAAATATAACAGAGAAAATATTCAGATGGGAAAGAGTGAACGAATGAGATCTGTTCTTTCTATAAGAGAAATAACTGAAGATCAGTCAAAGATACATAACAACACCCCAGCTAAAAATAAACGTGTTGGAAATGACTAGAGATCTGTCTAATTTCTTTTTAAAGCATTTTAATATTCATGCACTTTTAATATGAATTTCTCACTTTTTAAAGATCTACTCATTTTTTCAAAACCCTCTGAAGAAAGAAGATATTAAAGAGGTAAAATGTTAACCTTTAATTAGAGTTGGCCGACATCACATAGATTATGTTCATTTAATGTCACACTCATTGTGAGACCTGTAAACATGCTATTAGGTTTAACAGGACATTACATACAACCTTACTGTGTTTACCATATTTATATGTAATAAATAACACACTATCTTAGCAGGTCTTACATCTGGAGAGAGAACAGAGTAGGACTGTGGTGGCTTCTCAAGAGATACAGGCAGGCAGAAGTGTCCTGTTCTCAGACGGCCATTCTGTAACATTGGGATCCACTGAAGAAGGAAAACACATGGATTTTTTTTCATCAGTAGGTGTAAACTTGCATCCGTTCAAGCATGAAATCCATGTTTTTAAGAGCACTATTGTGATTTCACCTACCGTGTACCCCACAGGGGTCTCCAGTGGCGTGTTCTGCTTCTGCTGGCAGCTGACATGGTAAAACGTGAAGAGAATGTGGTGGTGGTCTGACAGGGAGGCAGGCAACTTGATCTTCACCTCATCATGGAAGTCAGGGGATCTTTAGACATTAAGGACAAATGTTAAAATATCTTTAAAAATTGGTTTATTAGACACTTGCCAACTCACAAAAATATAGTTAGTTGATCATTCATTCATTTTTGACATTTATAGTACTGCAGTACAGAGGAACTTGTTTGTTGCATAAATAAATTGCTAAATTGGCAATATATTGAAAATCAATAGTCATGTTCAATGACACAAAACAAGAGTTAACAGCGTATTGTGTTGTTTGGGTGTAGCAGAAAGAACTTAGCAGGTTTTCCAGGGACCACTCAGATTCAACTCTACTTTACTGGCCCAACCCACAAATGAATTGTCTTAAAAAATTTGTCATTTATTTCTCAATCAATTTTATTTCAAGCCAACAAATAAATCGAGGTCGCAATGTGATGAAAAAGGCCAATTATATAACAAGTCACAATAAACTTCTGCTGAATTTTTTAAGGTCCCAAAGGAAGAAAATCTCTGCAGGCCCAAGCTCAGAACCAACCAAACATTACAACAAGCATTCAGTGTCAACAAATACACTGGAACTGACAAGAAAGGAAATGTTTAAAAGAGGTCAGAGATGGGCTCTTATTTCTCATGGACAAAATTATTTCAATTCAGAAAAAGAAGAAATTTACTGGATTTTTTTATTGCTATTGAAAGTTGCTAGGTAGAACTTAGGTCAAACACAGCCACAATAGAGAAAACTTTTCAGATGTAATAATTCTTATTTAAAAGAACAGTCTATTTCTTTATCTGCTCTTTTTGTTAAGCACTTTTTCAGGCTGTGATGAAGACACTTGGAGCAAATCAATCATGCTACTGCAATCAAAAATAAAAGGTACTGAATCTTTTGAGGTCAACACACTCACCTGTTGTGGTACACAACTGCAGTGTAGGCCTCTTTATAAAAATCTGCACAACTTGACTTCCCAAATATGACCTGAAGGATAAGAAGCAAAGTATTAAATGCAATAGTTTTGCAAAAGGCAAAATTCCCAACTTAACAACACTGTCATAATTAATCAAATGTAACATTCTCTGGAGTGGCTTAACTATTCCTTTTGGCATACCGGCATTGCATTGCTTGGATCCTCTCCATTCATAAATTGCACTTTGACTGTGATGTTGCGAGCAGAGCCCTGTCGGTTGGCAAAGTTAAGACTCTGAGGGTTGACATACAGCAGATTTCTGAAATGAAAGTATTCAGCACATTAGAAAGTAATTTAGACAAGTTTATTAAAGAAAAATGCATTTTGAGTAGGTAAGTTATGCAAAAATGTTGGATATTTGTACTGTATTTGTTTTTTTACAGTAAAATTATCTTAGTTTTATTTTAATTTCTCTATTCAAAAACGTAACCCTAAAGACAAACACAACTCAGTATTTAGTTTGCACTATTAGCAAGGGCCATTTAATTAAAAAAATTGACAAGACTTTGTGCTAGCTTTTACTTTCAAGGCAAAAAAGGCATTCTTAAGGAGTGCTTGACCCATTTACCCAAAATGTAACATCAGAATTCATGAAGTGATTGATTTAAGGTCAAAGGTCACACTATTGCATAAGCCATGCTTTGATTGGCAAATACAGGAGGCTCGGCCAGTCAAAATGTCAATGTACAGTAGATGAATAATCCTCAGGAAAACTATGATTCAGCTACATTTCTACAAAGGAGAAAATGAAATATTTAACCTACTTTTTTCATGTTAGCCTAGAAACTATTGTAATTTTCTTTTTTTTCTGGCTACAAAGAAAAAACAGCATGTGGCAAAATATGTAACAATCAATGGAAGCAAAACTAAAGCTTCAGTTGAGTCACAAAGGCTGATTGTAACAGTGAGGGAGAAGAAGGCGGCCCCACTATAGGAAGTGTAAAATAGCTTGGGGTTTGCTGGTTAACCACAATCACGTAATCAGTCCTGGGGGGGCTCGACCCACAGAGACAACAGCTGGAACCACAACCAAGTAAGGAGTGTGGGAATCTCTGTCTCATACCGATAATTTTACTTATTCTTCTAAAAATTATTTCTCTTATCTGAGCAACAGCCGTGGCTGCTTTGAAGTAGGTTATTGACCTCGAACTGCAGTAGAAATCGACATAATTTTGCTGTGGCAAAGTTAAGCTATCATTGAGCACAAATAGAGGCAAGCATGATTGGTCCATTCATCTCTTCAGATTCAGCTTAAGTTAATAAGTACACAAAGGAAAGTAAACTTTGCTTTGCTAGTACTTTTCAATGAAAAAAACAAACAAAAAACAGTGAACATTTGAATTTGCAATGGAGCACGAGTGTGTGAACGTCTTGTCAGCTCCAGACACGAAGACTCCACTAGACCTACTTAAATTTAACTTCTCAAGTCTTTTGTTATACTAATCTTTATGGTCCAGTGGAAAATCATAAAATAGAACCAGATTTGAGCTGATGAAACAAATTCCTGGCACATTTATCCAGCTTTTGGTCGCTAGAAGAAGGAAAAAAGTTTTTAATCAATTCTTCATTACTGGGAACTAAGGTGATCCAGCCTCAAAATCACAAATAACACAAGACCTGTGTGGGATTTTAAGATGTACTGTCACTGTCAGAGTGCGTTGCAGAAGAGCGTTCCAATAAATTAGTGCGTGCAGATAAACTATTTGCTTTGTTGCATCACTATGCCTGAGATTTAGGAATCCACCACCAGTGTTTACAATATGGGGTATGGAATTGCATCATTCGGCCCATGTCTGCAGACTGAAGCTTTTCTGGAAACAGCTGCTTTCTGCTGAACTTTGCCTCTCAGCACCAAAGTGAATATGAAAAATTCTACCACACAATGATGGTTATTGGTATGGGCAAAACTGCTTTCCACTCAGGGGGTGGCATGAACAATGCTGTATTACTACATAAAAAGCTCTGAAAGAAATTATTTAAAAGATAATTATTTGTGAAACCTTCAATTTATTATCGGAGCCAAAAATTTGCTTTGAACAAAAAATAAGGGGCCTTGCTCACAGTGCCAGCATAAAAGATTTTATCTCCTGCATTTCTAAAAAAAAAAAGTTAGATGCCAGTATAATCACAAGTACTCAATTCAGCAATGTGGCAAAAGATGTTTGGCCATCTCAAGCTTTAATTGACCAAATCAACCAATGAAACCCCTCAAAAAGAGCATAAAATGACACAATTTTCCTTTTACTATTTGCTATTTAAAAGTAGCACACTGCATTGACTGTGGTGGAATTTTTTAATGATAAAACCACTATTCCCTGCAGACATATTCTCTCTAAACAGGGACATCAACACACAGATTCAGCATCCCGAATCTAAGCATCTGTCATTAATTAGCAATGGTTTCGTTGGTCTTCATGCATGTGAGGATACAAGAAGAGTGTGTCAGTGTGTGAGATAAATGAGTACTGGCCATCACTTCTGATTACGGTACATTTTTTCCTCATGCAAGGTTATAAAAACAATAAAAAGTTAAGTTTTCAAGCAACTAGCAGCATATTGAAATACATTTCACATGTCTATTCTAGGTTTTTGCTTAAGTAAATCTATTAAAGTCAAACTGTTTGATAACTGTCATAGATAATGGTACTATAGAAAGCATACTAATAAAATCAAATATCCTGAACCCGAGGGACTTGGTTAACTTAAAGAAATTATTGCCAATTAATTTACAAAAGTTTAAGATCACGTGATAAAAAAACAGAAGGAAGTATGATTTCAAAAGAAAAACTGTGCATACTGCTTTAAAAATAAATGCACAAAACTACAGAAGAATTTGGATAAGTTGAAAAAATGCTCACCTATAAATCAATTCAAAACACTTTCTAAGCTAAGAATGATTAAGTTTTCCACACTTCTGAGAAAATATTGAGGAGAATGACATGTTTTAAACTTAGATTTCTAATTTAATGTATACAAGTATGAAAAAATATTTTAAAATCATTAAGAAAAATACTTTTTATTCTTCTTGCTCCCACTGATGTACAGAAAGTGCTTTAAGGGAATGCTTTTGTTGATAGCTATAAAATACATTCAAACATAAGTTAACTTTTAAATAAAATAAATTAGACCATGAAATTCCAACTTATATATTTTTTCACAAACAAAAATATTAAACTGTGGTGCTTTTTACAAAGGCTATCATGCAGTTCTTACACCCAGTCTGTCATAATTATATTCATTCTTGTGCACAAAACTTCAAAATGAAAAACAGAGCACACAATAAAACCACAAAAAGTGTAGACCCTGTCCACCTTGTGGCGGGGTCTCACTACTTGTTTGTGGTGAGTCTTCTCCCCTCGCCACAAAGTAAAAAAGAGAGAAGCAGCAAAAGAGACAGAGAGAGAGTCTGGCTGGGCTGAATCAGCACCATGCTAAATCAAACCTAGGAGAATTAATTACAAACAGCATTATCAATCTGAGCAAAGTGTGTGCAGGGTTATATGGTTTGAGATTGATTAAACTGACGATCCATCAAAAACAGAGATAGCCATTGTTGGCTTTCTGCTGATCAGCTAAAGTGCCGCACCACAGATGGAGAGTAGGGTAGGGGAGAGGGGATTGGGGTTAAATGGTTAGTAGAGAAGGGGTGGGGGGCACATGTCATTTGCACACTACTGTGATTTGTTTGTTTGGGAGAGGGAGGGTTCGAGGGGGATTTGGGAGGAGGTGGGAGACAAAGCTAAAAACATTGTAGGGTTTAATGATCAGCTAATCCCCCCGCCTCTCTGTGGGTATATAACGCAGCACCGCCTGCTGCTCTCCAATCATTTTAACAGTAAAGGAGACTTGGTGGTAAGCACCAGGAGGAAGAAAAGAGTTAAAAAGTAGTGAAACCAACAGCTTTCACATTTCAGGATCCGACGAGGAAAATCACAATGAAGCTACTTTGCCTGTTTCTGCTGTTAGCTGGTTCGACTGCTGCGCTCCATCTGGACACCTCACCCAGAAGGGAGCACCCCACCCTGCCCTCAGAGGTTCTCACCACAGAGGCGACTCCAACTGAAGCAAAATCCCGCTTCGCCATGCTGGATGATGTCCGCCTCCTGGCCAACGGGCTCCTCCAACTCGGCCAGAGTTTGCGAGAGTTTGTCCACAAGACCAAAGCCCAAATCAATGACATCTTCCAAAAGCTTAACATTTTCGACCGCTCCTTTTACCAGCTCTCGGTGGTCACATCCGAAATCAAAGAGGAAGAGGAGGAACTCAAGAAGACCACTAATATCTTGAAGGCCAACAATGAGGAGATCAGAAACCTATCCATGGAAATTAACACCAAGATCAACACCATCCTGCAGGAGCGCACGCAGCTGCAGAGTAAGGTGGGAAGCCTGGAGGAAAGGCTGAAGGGATTGTCAGAGAGTATGATCCCCACAGACCAGCTCAGTGAAATCACAACCCTTAAGGTGAGGAGATAACAGATTAAAAACTTCATAAAATGCTAAATTAAATGCCTTTCTCCACAACTGGTTTAACTGAAATACATGTTGTGATACTAATACGGATGTTCCGTAAAACTTTACTGCTGAATGTTCAAAAGTAGAAAGTTGGTAAGGATTATGTATGAAGACATAACAGTAACAGTACACTATTCATAATGAAACTATTTTAGCATTGCTGTTTCACATTTCTCATACTTTTCCTCAACGTATATCAGAATATCTGGCTTTTTTGTTCAACAGTTGAACAGTAAGGATTTTTTTTTAAATAACACATTAGAATTGTATTAATAATAATGTGAAAATTATGCATGAATTAAATATTTTCTAGGAAGTAATTGAAGCACAAGAGAAAACAATCACCAGCCTTCTAAAAGCAGTGAAGGAGCAGCATGATCAGCTGGACCACCAAAAAAGCAAGATTAAAAATCTGGAGGAAAAGGTAGATATGGAATATAAAGCAACCTACACATACATTGCACCTTGAAAAACATGATGTAGACAAATTCTTTCAAGATGGAAAATACTTGTGTTTTTTTTCTGCAGCTTAGCTTCAATAGCTTCCAGCAAACTAATGATAAAGCAATGGATTCAGACCTTTCAGCCACTGATATGTTTGAATATCTGCAAATAAACGGCACTGGAACAGAAATACGTGGTAACAGTCTAAAATGTGTCATTAGATTAAAATATTGCTTAATTTTAGAACAATTGGTTATAATCTGTATTCACTTGTGAATATGTTGCAGACCTTCCTGTAGACTGCAGTGAGTTATTTACCAGAGGAGAAACAAAGAGTGGAGTTTATGCTGTCAAACCAAACCAATCTGAGCCATTTTATGCTTACTGTGAAATGAGTTCAGGTAAGTAAAACAGAAAACTTATTTTTAACTTTTACAGAAGTCTTAATATGTTATGAATTAATATGGAACTGTACATTTCTGTTTTTCTTCTATAGATCAGGGTTTTACTGTCATTCAGCAAAGAGTTGATAGTACAGTGGATTTTGACCAAACATGGGATATGTATCAAAAAGGCTTTGGAAACCTAGAGAGTGAGTACACTTGTAGAATCTGAGCAATTTGCCAGTTCTGCAACTTTCCTTGTCACAATTAAGACCGCTGCATTTAAAAGTGTTTTTCATTTCAGAGAAGTTTCTTTCACATATAAGCAGTTTGAAATGGATCAAGTTGTTGACTGCTTTCCCACAGAGGACTTCTGGCTGGGTCTAAAGAAAATACACACCATCAGCCGACTGGGAAGTTACATCCTGCGAATTGACGTGGAAGACTGGAAAGAGGAAAAGCATTGGGCTGAGTATAGCTTTTCATTGGAAGGTCCCTCCGAGGACTACACCCTTCACGTCAGCCACTTTGCAGGGGATCTACCTGACGCAATGACCAACCTGACTGGATCGAGATTCTCCACAAAAGACAAGAACAACGACAGCGGCTGCAGCTCTGACTGTACTACACGCAACTGCACAGGTGCTGTATCTCTCATGGCAGAAATGGTAGAAATTAGTTGCAGAGTTTGTGTTGATACAACTGTTGTTTCATGCATTTGCAGGAGGTTGGTGGCAGAGTGCGTGCAGTGAAATTAACCTAAATGGAAAGTATTTCTCTTTGAGAACAAAAGGACGGTCTGTGAGGAGGAAGGGCATTCAATGGCGGCCAGGCACAGGGCATTCATATTCCCTCAAGATGAGCAAAATCAGCTTACGTGCTTTAACAGATAGCGGAAACTAACCTTACAACCCTCAAATGTTCATATACTATTGCTATTCTGTGTTTCCATAGAAAGGAAAGCAAAATTGAGTTTGCCTTCTAACTTTTTGTTGGGTGAAATATGTCATAAATTGGACTTACAGATGTGATGTAATGGTTCAATAATGGCATGTAGGTTGTTAACCTATTGGATCTGATGCACCAAGGACACTAAAACAGTTATTACACAACATCTGCAATCACCTATTGATCCACATCGCAGCCAGATTCTGTTCCAGATACAAGTGGACTTGCATGGGTAGAAAACTTCTCAATGAATTTAAATCATAAATTGTGCAATCAGATCAACCTAAATACATTTCAGCTTCTAGGCCAAGTATACTATTAGAAGTGTATCTTATCTTTATGAAGTGAAACATGTTGTTCTGAAGTAACAGGCAGAATAGCCATTGTCTTATTACATAATGCATACACATTGTAATATATAAGCTTCAATAGGAATTGTATTTGCTATAACTATAATGTGCAGGCTGCTTTTGTTTTACTCATCTGTAGATATTCTAGATTTTTTTTATTGTTTTGTACCACCCCATACTCTGATTTCACCCTCTCAGGTTTATAGGTAAGGTAAAGTTTTATCAGCAAACTATTGGTCATTCAAACTTTGGCAGTGCACTGATTACCTTTTGTCATTGTCAGGTCAGTTTTGTATTTTTATTCTGTATAGTATTTAAAATATGTTCATGCGAAAATGATTAATGCTGGCATTGTTAGCTAATATTGTGTTTGAGTTTCCACTGTCATATTGGGTCATATTGACTTGTATCATTAGTGCAGCACAAATTTCTGTTTTGTAAATGTGTGTCATACTTGGTATCTTCCTGGAAAAATGTTTATATGCTATCCAATCCTACTGTATTTATGAAAAACATAAATAAATAAATAAATAAGAGCGTCAACATGTGTTTCTATATTTGATTAATCTTATTAAAACACTTTAAGGAAATGAAAAATTTTGAAATTCAGATACTACTATACTAATAAGACATTCCAATTTTTATTTTTTGGTCCTTATGAGAGGCATGGAGCCGCAACCTTAATTGGCTTCTTTGTATCTTCCACAAAGGCTCATAAGAACTTTGATCAAAATGATAAAGAAATACTGTTTTTAATAGAGAGAATGTTTTTTTAACTGGAATAACTGCACTATATTTTCACTAAAGAATAGGTTGCTATTGTTATTATTTTTCAAACAAATATTATATAGCATGTCATAGAAGAAGATATGTCTGTCCTCTCTCTAGCAAAAATACTTATGTGCTTTTCCTTCTTTAACTAAAAAGCGTATTTCTTTTTTCAGAACATCATATAACATATGGGGCTCTTCTTTTGTTTTGTTTTGCTGGACCTAGGGCAAAATTGGCTCTTGAGATTGTAAAGCTTGTAGAGCCCTTGTCAAATCATTTTTTATTAATGCCAATCTTTTGGTTTTATTATAATATGGTGGAATTTTATGCTGTATGATTTGAAGATACTTTTAAAACATACTAATATCAAAAGTTTCATCCCCTCTTTCCCTCCTCCCTGAGAAACAAAAAAATTATTTCAATCATAGAATGTGATTAATCAGTCTCTACTGGATAAAGATCGTTTTACATGCAAACCAGCAAGTCTGGCAAAAGTGGGGCCCTGTGGGCTGCTGTCTGGTAACACTTAGTTTTCTAAGTCACCTTGACACAAATAGCCCTTATTCAGGTGGACAACATCCACTGTGTACACAGATCGAATCTGCCTGTGCATGCAGGTGCTGTCAGTGTGTGGAGAGTTCTGGCAACCATGACCTTCACAAAACAACAGGAATGAGATAAACAATTACAATCACAGCAGTGAACTGACCCAATTAATCAAGTCATTTTCAAAATAAAGTAAATGGATGAGAAGAGATTTAACTGGCCTCCTGAAAATGATGAGACAGACATAATTAAAGAAAACACTTAAAGTAAAAAGTATTTTTTGTGTACCTGTACGTGGTGTTTGGCACATAGACGTCCCTAGCAGGAAATTCCAGGATCTCTCTGGTGGGGCGCACTCTGCTGTCTGGGTAAGGTTTAACCTGGGTCAGGTCAGGAGTCAGGCAATAATGGGGGTTCTCTGGAGCTGGAGAGATGTCCAACTTTAACTGGGCTATGGTGACAAAAGGTGGGGGGAAAAAAATATTTAAATTGAACAATATTGTTCTGTTTTTCCAATGTCCTAAAAGTGATACATAAAAGAGCTGTCAGAACCTGTTATGGGCCTGAGCCTTCTCAGGACTGAGGAAGGTCTCCTCATATCAGCCAGAAACTTAAACAAATCTTCATCACTGAGCCTGTCCCCTTCCTATCATCAAGTATGAAAGAAAACAAATTAATTAAAAAGAAAAACACCATAATAAAACATAATTGGTTTACAATAAACTTGTACCTGTTTAAAGAAGTTAGTAATGGTAAGTGTTGCAGGCCTAAATCCTGTCAGACTACATGATTCATCTCCGCTGGTGGTCCTCTCCAGGGAACGCCTTCCCATGATGCTCGAGTTCCTCCGTTCTGACCATGAGCCTTTTCTCTCTATAAACATTAATGAAAAACAAAATTTTGAATAAAAAACTTTTAAACTTAGCTATTTTTAAAAAAAGTTTTTATTGGCCTTTATTTGACAGTGAATTAACAGGAAAGTGGGTCATGAGAAAAGGGGGTTGTGGTTAACCCCTGCGCCACCAAAGAACCCCAAACTTAGCTATTTCTAATCTGCCCAGCAACTAAGGCAGCTAAAAGAAAACATTGTAGGACCAAAGGCTGAACAAACAACTCAAAGTAACACTCCAGGGATCAATTTAGCAACATGTTTTTGTTGGATGTTTATTTTCTCTGACTTTTCTAACTATCTGTAGTCAGAAAGTTTTTTTTTAGATAAGGATTTTCAAGGGTTGGAATGCATTGACAAAAGGCTTATGCATGGTTGCCAGTGCTTCTGACACTCCCTGTACCCAGTTAAATGCAAACCTGTAAACATTTTGTAGAATTGCAAATCTATAGTTTTCATTTCAATGTTTGCTTGAGTTATATAGCTAATTCAGACCTGATAGGCTCATCTCTAATTCAGTATCTCTCTCCAGGCTGCCGGCGCTGTTGACAATGTTCATCAGGTGGATGGCAGTCCATGCGAAAGGCATCCTGTAGCGACCCAGACGCTGACAGAATTGCTCTGATTGACTTCGGAGCTTCTCCAGCTTCTCCTTGTTCTATAAAAAATTTATTAAATTAAGCATACTAGCAACTTACTAATAAAAGAACCATATCACAGATTATGGTCTATCCCTGAAGCACTGCGGTGCTCCTATTAGTTAATTTAAATGCTGATACTGCTGATACTGTATATTTTTGATCAAACAAATGTCAAAACAAGCCATGAAAAAAGAAATTCACATTATGTCTTAAGTTCAGCTATAAATTTCTGTATTTATTAATCAATCTAATTCCCACTGAACGTACCTTGGCTGCATCTGATTCCTTGAAGACCATGTAAGGCTCTGCACATTCTCCAATATCACCTTGCTGTAGTACCTTTTCTAGCTGTTGACAAAAGAAAAAAAAACATGTTAATATGTAGATGTCATGTGTTGTTTTTTTTTTTGTTTTGTTTATGGTTTTTTTTCTTTCGGAAAAGGCTCCATCAACACAAATCCGTACAAATATTCCCTTAAACATACCAAACCTATAGCGGACAACATAGTCCAAAGCTAAAATCTAGATCAGCCAATCAGAATCCTTCAGAACAACAAACACCACTTCCTGTTACAAATTAAACATGGGGCCAGGAGATTTGTTTGTGTGGACAGAAAAAAAGCTCATAAATAAACTATAAACTATAAACTATGTTGATTGAGAATCGTGCCAAAGCAAGTATGGATATACTGGTGCATTCTCTGCTACAGACTGTAATGTGTGCAAACCAAAAACTAAGTTTTATTTTTATGTGAACACAAAAACTATTTATAAAATCTCCCCTGATAAATAATAACATATAGCAATGTCAAACTGAGTTTTTGTGTGGATGAAAGGCCAAAACGCATAAAAATGTATGTTTCGCCAGACATCCCAGAAAAACTTGTTTGTTATGAACTACTAAAGCATGAAAAGAAATTTAAATAATTTCCTTTTATTATTAGTGACTACAGAGACGATCTAGTTACGGTAGTTGTCATTGTTGTATTTCAAATATATTGCTTACTCCATCTCTGTTACAATCAACATAGAGTATTACCCCTAACATTTTTAATTCCTAAGAATTAAAAGTCGTTAAGAATTTTTTAATTCATCCCTGATGCAAAGCAAATCATAGCACAGCTGCTTCACCTTGATGACCAGGAAGATATCCTGAGAAGGATAGGTGATGGAGAAAATGGCAGAGCGTGCCAGAGTGGAGATGGCTGCCGTCTGGATGTGCGGACGCAACATTCCTTTCATCTGCTCCGAATTTAAGTCGAAGAAAAAGTTTTCAGATATCTAAAGGAAATAGAAAATAAGTTAAAATGTGATTATTTATACAAAAAAATGCATCCGTATGACAACAAATACACTACAATTATAATAAAATATTATTTTTTTTAGCCAATGGCTTGGTAACTGCAACTTGATTTCTTGCACACAGTTGCTGACAAACATGGTAGTTTCAAAGAAAAATGAACCCCTGGTGAATCAATAGAGCCCAGAAGCGAGGCAATATATATGAGAGAGCTACATCTCAAGGCCACTGCTACCCTCTAGTGTTTGTTACTGTAACATAATTCCAGTGTGTGATTTAACCACTGTAGATTCTTGAAACCTTAACAGAACACAGCATAAAATTTTACAGTCCACTCATCAGATTTCCTTTATCCTCTCAACAATTTTAATGGTTTGCAGAAGTGACCACACAACTCAGGGCCAGGAAAGGAACTGAGAAAAGCATAACAGCTTACCTTTCTCTTTTCCTTGACATCATATAAGGCCAAACTAGCAAATATGGGTTCAATTTCGATCTCAAACCTTCAAAAGGGGGGAATGAAAACAAGTGAGTCAGCAAAAAGGAGCAGTTAAATATAACTAGAGAGCTTTTCTTTTTTCCTGAAAAAGTCTCTCCACCACTTACTTCAAGGACAAGCATTTGACGAGTAGCCTTTGGCCAAAGTGCTCTTTAGGCACTTCAGGCACACAATGGCGCTCAATGGGCTCCTCCTGTACATGCACATGGAAAGCACAGATGAACACCAGAAAATATCCTAGTAATCAGTCATTAAAACAAAAATAAAAGTCCTATTTGGTTTGAGTGATGCACAAAATTAAAACATCTTGTCTATGAGAGACAAGATGTAAATTTGAGAATCAAAATGTTACCTCATCGAGAGCGGGATGTAAAGCGAAGAGTTCGCGATGGCGGCTGTTCTTGCGCTGGTCTTCATTGTGCCGGTCAATCTCCTCGTTGGGAGCACGGTCAAGGAGGTGAGGAAGAAGAGCGTCTGGGAGGGAATTCTTCAAGTCAAAGATGCTGCAGGCCCAGCTGCCGCGCGGAGTGTCATCTATAGACATTGATCGCCTCTTCAGATCATCCTAAAAAAATACAGTCAAAACCATAACTGCAGTCCACTTCCTAGTTTTGGAGCAGTCTCATATGCATTTGATCCACACTGCAGTTCACTTCAACTTAACCAAGACGTGGGTTTGTAGGCAGACCACAGTTTGTTTTTCGGTCTGAATCAGAGTTCATTTGCACATTCACGCCTACCTAAACAAACAGCTCTTTCTAGGCACATGAACTACAGTGTGATTAATGTGTGTAGTTGGGGGTGGTCTGAATGCATCCCAAGAGCAAAGATCACATTTAGGAAACACTTTCAATAAAACTTTAAGAAAAATAGCAAGAGGAAGTTGCTCTTGTTCACACGAGCTGTGAATCACTGCATCTTGCCTATATGGAGAGCCAATAAAGAGCTACAGGGTGGCTGGAAGCTGGTACCTGGTCATCCTGATAGCTGCTGCTGTCTGGCATCTCATCGGCTTCAAACACTTGCTTAGGTAAACCTTTCTGACGCTCTTTTTGCTTGTCCAGAGTGTTGGGGTTAAAACCTGTGCCAAGTTTATGATATCTGAAAGAGGAAGCAGCTGTTAACATACATGGTTAATCACCCAATATGGGAATGAAATGGTGCAAAAGTCAATAAGGAAAACCTTACTTTCTGTTAACAATGGCCCAGTCTTCTGTGTATGATCTGACACAATCTCTGACATGAGTGTCAGTGTCCCTGCAAACCGATCAGACAAGGATTATTTTAATATCAGAGTGTATAACTACAAACAAATACACAAAAGACAAAACCTTTTCGACTAATTTCCAAGTTTTGTGTAACACCACATAAAATATTGAGATGTAAGGGTAGAATAGCTACAGATAAAAATGATGCAGTATTTACCATAGAGCTTCTCAATATACCAATCTTACATTAATTTGTTTGTTATAAACTTTAAGTAAAAAAGTATAAACTGAAAGTAAAAACAAAGTTGTTTTTACTTTCAGAAAAACCTATAATGAAGTTATATGATTTCAACTCAATACTATGTTTTATCAGTTAACTATTAATCGTATTCAAACTGTAAAAATATCAGGAAAAAGCAATAATTTAGAACAACAATCAAAAGTTGAACTTCTCACATAATTGTTACTTCTGTTCATGGTGCTAAAAAAACAATATCAGCAGACCATGTCAATTCAGTCCCACTGAATGAGGGATATTTTTGAACAAATATCTAATATATCTACCTTAGGTGATTTTCAGTTGTTTTCTGGATCATGTCCACCCTCAATAAAATGAATACTGATTGCAAATTTGGTGCTTTATACTCAAATGTGTTGCTATATAGCTTTTATTTACCCTTCTTCAGGGACAGCTGGTACAACGGTGCGACATTCCCTGGGTGTGTAGGTGACCTCGATGTCATCAGGGGGAAACTCAATCAGATCTCTGAGGGGACCGGACTCAACAATGGGGGGATGTGTGATGAGATACTCCTCAAAGTCCACTGGTTCCACTGCTTCTGTGAGTGGAACCTGGGGGCCAGAGACGAGAAAAATTTAGGGAAAAAAAGTGAAAGGAAGAATTATTTCACTTGTTGTTTATCAGCATATATAGAGTGAAGGAACAACAAAATCAAAGTATGGAATTATTATTTTGTTACTGTTACTTTTAGAGCACTTCTAGCTTTTGGATCAGCTCCATTTCTAGCAGAATGGCACTATGACACTAGTACAATATGCTCCAGCCATTTTCCAGATAGTTGGAAAACTATCTATTTTTATCTATCTATTCATGATGAACATGTAGATGAACATGTAGACTTCAGTTGTAGTAACACAGGAATAGGAATCGAACCTGGGACAGCTGTGTAAAGGACTGCAGCTGACCACCAGGTGCCCCAGCACTACACTTTTATCATGCAAGCTGTCAGAGCCTCGGCAAGGCAGCAATAAAATTACTACAGTAGCAATAATATCAAAGTCAGTCAACTGTCACTCCTTATCATACTAAATAGTGAAAGCGAAAGTCAACTCTTTCACATAATCACAACATTAGCCGAAGTGTATCACCTACACTAAATTACAATCTACTTTTTATGTAGCAAAGCAAGCAGCTGAAAGCAGCTGGGTGGATATAGCTTTACATCACTCACTGTGTTGCTAGATGTTGTTCCAACGTTGAGGTTTTTGAAGAGCTGCGGGGAGCCCCCATACTGCCCAGCTATCTGCTTCCTGACCTCTGCTGCCACAGTCCTGCAGAGAAGAACAGAGAAAAGATGGACATCAAAAAAAGAGTGCTTACAATTTGTGAACTATGATTATCATATCAACAAAGCACTTGAATACTCTTGTACCTTATTCATTTTATTGTTTTTATCACTTGAGACACTTGAGAATAAAAAAGATTTTAATAACTTTGGAGCTGTGTTTATTTTTAAACAAATCTGTGTACAATTTTTACTTGGATGTACCTAAAAGCACAGTTTTAAGGATATTATTATTTTGGAATGTGTGAATGCTGCAGGGTGATGGACTTTCACTTTCACTGTTTTTCTTCAGTACCAATGTGGTTCATGATCAGGTTTTCTCAATCAGTCAACCATACTAAGCATTAGCAACCATACTAAGTATTAGCATTAGCATTAGCTGTTGTTGTCAGCTGTACTTGCATTAGCAAGTCACTGACTAATGTTATGTATTATGTTTATTATGTTTATGTTTAACAGAAAACTATTTTTACCACCCCATGAAACATATCTGTGCTTCATTATATGCTATGAAAGGGTGAAAGAGAATAAGTTTTTTTTTTTTTTTAAAGATGCTGAAGTAGAGGCCTTTAGTGACAGTAATCAGACAGGAGATGGAAAGATGTTGAACAAGGAAGACATGCAGGCTTCAAGTTTGAGAAGCAAACTCCAGATAGATCAATCAAGGACTAATAGAACATTGCACTACAGGAAGACTGAACAGAGCACAGCAAAGTGGCTGTGCTCTTTGTTGTTCTTTTATCTTTTAACTCTTTTATAGAACATAATACTTCTGAAAATATCTGTAGTTCACATAAGGAGTCTATATTCTCCTTTGTTCCAAAATATGATTTATGGCTACTCTGCTGTAATTGATCAAAGCTGTACAAAAGGCCAAGACGGGAAATTGAAAACAAATCCCAATTAGTGCATATCTAATATTGATCAGTTTTATAGAACTTTATTTCATTTTGATGTGAATGTATAAATCAATAAAAATCAGCTGTGTGTGCCATATATTTAAATTAAATTATTTACATTTATTGGGACAAAATCAATTTCTTTACATTATCGGGTTAAAAATCTAATTAGTTTGTTATTATAATGTAATCAAACTCAAACTACTAGAGTTCCTAAATGCCTGGGTTAGTTAACTGTCTCAAGCAAAGCTGAAAGCAGTTGGCTATTATATTACAGATTGGTAAAGCAAGTTAAGCCTTGCATTTCAGCCCCATTTATTAGAGGGTTTTGTCTGCTGTCTGGTTTTTCAGCACAACACTTCCAACTAAATGACATGGTAAACAGCTTGGTGATTCACACAACATTCTGGCTACTCAACAGCTTTATCCTCAAAGCAATATACAGTAGGTCAGGGAGCTACTATAAACTCCGTTTTATTTGTAGGAGACAACCTAATTATATCTATCCCATCATTGATAGAATATAAACAACCAAGTGGCATGAGAGAGGTTGGCAACACTGCCAAACAGAAGTCAAAATCCAACCTGCCGGTCTGACGTGAGTATGATAAAGTTCGGGAGCTGAGATCCAGTGGCCTCTGCAGTGAAGCGTTGTCACGGCTGCAGATAAGCAGAAGTGACAAACACATTCCATAGTCCTCCCATGAGCCTTAAACATTTGGCACAGCGCAAGCACACAGAAGACTAACTTTGTTCAGTAAACACTAGCTTTGTGGCCACAACTTCTGGACATTATGAAAACCTAGAAATAACACATGAACTCATGGTAAACAAGGGTCACAATACAAGTTTAAGCGGATGATACGTGTTTAAGGAAATGCATTCAGTTTGCTTTTAGTGTCACACAATCAAAACTTTCACAAGCATCAACATGCCGTAGACAGACGTTTTTGTTATTCAATAAGATGAATAAGATCAACCACTTATACAGCCTTCACTTTGTTTTCTAAATGAAAGTAAAGTAAACAAAAGTTTGAGTTGTATTTCTGTATTTTTGAGCATTTGCGATCACAAAAGACAAGAAACTCAAAAGCAAAAAAAAACATGTTAAGACTCAGTTGGTAGATCTTAAATAGTGTAGTGTTGTCACGCAAAAAACATTTTTATCTCCTTATCTAGTACAATTGAAAGTATTCAGACTCATTGACAATTTGTTATGTTAAAACCACAAACGTCAACATATTTTTGGGAATTTTATGTGACAAGTAAAGTGCCACATAAATATGAACTTAAAGTTAACGATAGATTATTTTCTCATGTTTTTATACACATAAAGACCTGAAAAGTGAAGCAAGCAGAAAGATCAAGGAACACAGCTAAAACTCACTAAAACATAACAAACAAATATCCCAAACTTCATCAATCCACCATTCAGAAATAAACATACTGAACAACTGCTGACTTGCCAAGACATGATTTTGTTTTTACCTAATGAAAGGAGTTTATTTGACTAAACATCTTGTGATTATGCTTAGAAGCCCTCTGCGTCCTTTGTTAATGTTTGAGGTCAAGCAAATGAACAGTTAATTACAAAATGAAGAAAAGATTTATATTATTTTTAATTATTAAGTATGACTATAACATGACAACATTTTACACTGGTTGCAGTTCAGAATTAAAATTCTGATATTAGATCTAGTAATTTTTAACTCACAGTTGTGGTAATTGTGTTACAATTAACCTGTTAATTACTGTAAAGTACACTATACAATACTTGATTCCATTAACTACATTTTGATTTTATTAGAAGATTTATCTTGACAACAACGTCAATGCCAAATGTACACAATGATACAAAAGACAATTTATTTGATTCCTCTTTTTTTAAAAGAACATAAAGAGATGGCAGTTAGAATGTTATTCTTCCCCATAATTTTCAGATTTCCTCATTCTTCGTCAGATCTTATCACACAGAATGCATAAACAGCAAACAAGTGGGTGTTTTCCTCTAACAAACGCATAGTGACTTGTCTGTCTGTGCATCTTGTCTGTCTGTGCATCAAGTCATCAGAAAAAAAAAAGATGAAATGCGTCCATTTGGACTGCTGAAGTGTAAAATAGAAGGAATGGTGGCATTTGACAGCTTGCACAAAGCCCCTTTGTTAAGGAGATTACATTGATCTGTCTGAGGAGCCGAGAGCAGATTATCACAGCGTTTGGCTGCTTTTGGGAAAGGCATTTGGTTCTAATCAAAGTTACACGTTTGTGATCTGCAGACATCTTAAACACATAGCGGCACAAAGTTCTACGAGCGTCAGCAGCGGTTACAGTAGCTTCCCATCGTTAGCTACTGTAGACGAGACAGCTAACAAGCCAGAATTAACGGTTTTCCTTTCATGATAGTTCAGCCTTTTTCGGGATTGGACAGCTATCAGAAATATTTTTTTCATGCCAAAATATATCCGTATACACATTCCCATCAACCATTTGTTTGCATTTGATGTAGTTTGAAAGTAGTAGCTAGCAGTGCAGCTGTCTGTCTGGGTGGGTCTGAGCATCTTCAGCCGCTACAGCTAACGAGAGGTTAGCTAGGAGGAGCCAGGCTTACTGGGCCTCCTTTAGCAGGGTTTCCCCGCAGCGGTGGACTGAGGGAGACCCACATCAAAGCAAAAAGAAAAGGGCGTTCAGAAGTGTTCATTTACAGCGCTCATTTCGGAGTCTCCGGTCTTTACCTGCTGATTTTTTGGGCAAATGCGCGGCGTTCAGCCATGGCAGTGGCCGCTGATGTGCTTTCAGAAAATTCCCAGGCAGGCACTCTGCTCTTCACTCAGAAAAAACACGGCCACAGGGACAACGGGAGAATGGAATCATTACCGTAAAGGCTGGAGTAGTACGCCACAGAACACACCCAAGAATGACCTTTCCTACTTCTCTATTTGACTGTAAATATCACAATTTCAACTACAATTACGACTGTTACTTAAAATTATTCCTGAGGGAAATTTTGTAGTGAATGAATGAAAATTACATAATAATTATCTATATATACACACACACACACACACACACACTTATATATATAACATATTATATTTGTTTGATATATATATATATATATATATATATATATATATATATATATATATATATATATATATATATATATATATATATATATATATATATATATTCATGACACATTTGTTTTCCTTATAGAAAACAAATGTATTCATGTGTTCATGTGACTGAAACCACTAGTTATTTAGTTATTATTATAATTATAATTATTATTACTTGTAGTAGCATAGAAGTAGTAGCTTTCTATTTATGTGTATCAATAAAAAGTTCTAAAAATTTTTAAAAACAACTTTCAAAGGTTGTGATTCCACTATTATAGCATCTTCTTCTTGCTCAGAAAATGGTTTCTCACCATTTTAAAAGAGCCCTCTGGAGTACAAAGTATTACTCATATCACTGACTCAAATTCCTAAAACTCAAATTCCTACTATTTTTAATAAAAAAATGAATAAGAATGAAGCATAAGTTACTGTAGATTTACAACGATGTATTTGCTTTGCAGTTTAAACAAATGCTATTACAACTTCTTAACAGGTGATATGTCCTAATGTGTTCTGATTCAAATTGTTTAAAGTAGAAATATTGACTGTGAGCAAAAGACAAAAAGGTATTTTTTTTCTTCTTCTTCTTCAAAACATATTGGCTCTCAGCAAGATCTTTCTACAGATTTATGCTAAAAATCCAGAAAATAGAAGAGAGCATAAATTGCTCGGTCATGTCATTCAGGGTTTTTTCAGTGAGCTGTGGGTGAAACGTCTTATTTGGACCTTTGACAAAGATTTAAAGTAGAGTGCAGACAAGCATTCTTTTTTCCTCAAAAGTTAATTCTAGATCTATATGACAGGCAATTTGTATATATTTCAATGATGTTTGTAAATCTTTGGACTATATGTGAGCCATGAAAAGTTATTGGATAAGTTCATTTCAAAGTATTTCCCAAATCTTTGGTGAGGATTCGGTCCTTTCAGTGAATCTCCCCTTTTTTATGACAAACTTTGTCTTGTCTTCTCTTTAAAGTCTTCATGAATGATTTAATAGAGCTGATTAATGACGGTGGAACAGGATGTTCAGTTGTTATTGCCTTTTTTAGCCGTTTGACGCAAGCAGATGATCTAGTTATATATATTTTGTCCACATAGCGCTAGCCTATGACAGTTATTGAGCATCTCCTCTTAATATTGCTTGGAATGTGACATAAATTAAGATGTAAGAAGTAATAGAAGAAGGAGGGTTAATCATAAAACTAGTATTTTTTGACTTTTCTCTATCTGGTATTGATCTATACTGGTGAAGTTTGCACATTTTAATCCATCTTCTTCTAGGTACCTCACCATTTCTTGAGATGTAAGAGAAAAAGCAGTATGTGTAAATGGACTGTACACAGTGGATGATGATAAGATGAAGCGCAAGCCAAATAATTCATAATATATTTTTTTATGCAGACTTTATTTTTAAAATGTGGAAACTGGGGAACCTTAGCTTACATGTAAATCTGTTATTTTTATCCCTTGTGCCCACAGTCAGTCCTCGAGGGCCGGCATCCTGCATGTTTTAGTTCTCTCCCTGGTGGTAATTAACAACCATTTCGATGTGTCAGAGTTCTTCTTAGGCCTCTAATGACCCATCATTTGATCCAGGTGTGTTAAACAAGGGAGGGAACTAAAACACGCAGGATGCCGGACCCTTGAGGACCGACTTGTTACTCATAGCTGAATACCTCCTCTTTAATACTACTCATATTGACGTAGAGCGAAAACATTACATTTAACATTTACTATATGCTTTTAACAGAATATGGCGGTTATTTTGTTAAAAAAAAATGTCGAAAAAGTTCATTTATTGAAATACTATACTGCAGAAAAAAAAGGGTCTTAGACTCCGCCTGGTTGGGCTACCCTGGTGTAAAACTCGACAACGTCATCCAAGCGAGATCACATGATTTTTTTGCCGCTTCCTCAAAGCATAAACGTTGCTGCTCTCAGGAGACCCCAAAGTTGTCAAACGGGTTATGAAGGAAATGTTGCATGTTTTATGACACCATACCATGTTTGAACTTGGAATGCAGCACGTCTGTGACAAGAAAACATCATTTTATTGATGCAACGTTGAGGTAAGTATTTTCTGCAAGCTGTCAGTTTATGTAGTACTTCGAAGTGAAGTGATATTGCTGCTAAATGCTGTGTGTCTGTTTGTTGCCTTAAACAAAGGTCAGGTTGGGGTTGCTGTGTGGGAATGGGAGCTTTCCCTCGCTGGTCCAAATGGCGAGTAAAGGGAGCGACGAGGTGGACAAACTGAAGACAAAGTTCATGTCAATGTGGTACAGTGTGAAGTACAGTAAGTGATTTTCTGCAGGCTCCCAGACCGATGTAGTACAATCTTTGCATGCATCTTTGTAGTCGTGTTGTGCTGCAAATTGTGTTTTATGAACTTTTAATTTTTTTTTTAAATTTATGAATACAGCGCTAATTGAGATTTCTCACTAAGATCCCAAATTATTTTTTTCCTCAATAATTCTGAGTAGTTGAGTCATGCAGTTGTAAGAGTGAATTCATCACTTATTATACCGAGGCAGCCCAACCAGGTGAAATTTAAGACGCCTTTTATTTAATTTTTTTTACAGAAAACTGTAGTATCATCACTTGCAGATACAAGTTATTTGATATGACAAAAATCAAAAGCTTGTTTTTCATGGCAGCTTCACTGTGACTGGAAGAAATTTCACAAAAAAAGCACCTAAATATAATTCTTGGAGCATGCTGCGATTGAGTCACTCCTGAAAATAGTTGCCGTTTTCCTGGCAATAATTGCAACTTTAACAGTTTTTCTGTTCCTGTTAATATGAATTCAACTCTAAATAGTTCTTACAAACTTAAGTTGGATGAAATAACTTTAGCAGGTGGGTAGCATGAAACTATAGTTAGCGTGGCAGTCATAAAGTGGGTTTCTCACTTAGTTGAGTAAATGCAGTCTTTCAGAGTACCTTTCAAAGTAAATTAGCCAAGCCTGATATGTGTTCTGTTCATTATGTATTCTAGGTTGGGCACTTAAATCCAAGACTGCATTTAGTAGAAAATCCCCAGTGTTTCTTCTTGGGAAGTGCTATAATTTACAGGCAGAAGGTAAGTTGCACAATATCATAAATCTCATATCATAAATTACATAAACTTGCACTGATTTTGAAAATTTGCAGTCATTTAAAACGTAATCTTTTGATAATTTTTTTCCCAAAGATAAATGTGCCACTGTAGACTTGCTTGAAGGCTCTGAGAACCTCGTCATGGGGAACTTAGAGGCTTTCCGACAGGATTTTGCATCTCGTTTGTGGCTGACGTACCGGGAAGATTTCCCTCCACTGCCAGGCAGCACCCTGACCACAGACTGTGGCTGGGGCTGCATGCTGAGGGCTGGGCAGATGATTATGGCTCAGGGTCTTGTTCTGCACTTCTTGGACAGAGGTGAATCAAACTTAAAAACATGGTTAAGCTTTGATCACATAACATTTTAATTAGATACACATTTTTTTATTTTAAAATCCTAAGTTGACTAAAGTCTGACAGTTTTGCATGTTTTTAATGTTGAAAGCAGATTCATTTTCATCAGTCCCAAAATGAATGGTTTGTCAGAAATCGAAATGTTTTTTTTAAAATGCATTATGGCTATGTTTCATTTGACTACCACACATTTTCCTTTACAAGTATAACAAACATCTGTTCCAGAACTGTGTAGATGAAGCTTGCATGCATATTAAGTAATGCATATTAAGTAATGCATGTTTTCATAGGTTGGATTAGATCTGATCAGTGTCATATTTCTCAATGGAATATTTTAACATCTTCTTGAAATAAGTACCAATGAGTAGAGATTGGGCTGCAAAAGTATTATAACTAGAGAATTTCTTATCCTTTACAGTCTCACTGACTAATGAAGTAATTTAAAAATCTTTTTTTTTTTTGCGCTAAAATCTGTCACTAATAAAACTTTTCCCCATAAAGATGCAAAAGTCCACTTGAGAATATTAATGGATCCATTTTAAATTTGATTCACTTTGAATGAAGGTCATTTTGTTACTACTTCTGACTTGATTCTGAGTTATTTTATCACCTGGGCTACTCCCATTCGCTCTGTTCATCTTCCACCCTGTTTGTAAGGCTAAGGTAGTGTTAAAGTGAAATACTGGGACACTCAAACATATAATTGAACCAAGTTATGACTAACCTGTTTCTGAAATGAGTAGAAGTCTGGCTTCTTGAGCCAAGACGGCTTATTTTTAAGGCCTGCATGGGTTTGTATTTTTAATGCTCTAAAACTGAGGTTAGAAATGTAGAAGGATCAAGCTTATTACATGGTTGATTAGGGCCTGGTGGAAAATGAACATTAATTCCTTTCCATTGAGCACAACAAATTAGAATAGAAAATGAGAACTCATTTAAAATAATTAGATGGTTCTGCCCAACAATGTCAAGTTTAGGTGTACTTTAAATGCCATCTTACACACAGCTGAATGATGAAATGTTTGAGTTACTTGCATGAGGGAAAATGCAATGTATTCATCAATACTTATAGCTCAAGGTAATGTAGAATGTTGTCACAATTGGATCATAAAAGTTTTAGCAAGTTGGCTCCAGATTACTTTGACTACACAGAATTTGAACTAAAAAATACACCTACAGTTTATACTGCATTTATGAGGTTTACTTGATTAACTGAAAAGGTTTACAGAATAAAATGCATTTTATTTGTGTTGTAAATAATTGAGAGAATTTGGGCAACGAAGGAATTTTCTAATTTAAATGCATGGAATTGTTTTTCTAATCATACTAAATATAATTAGAATCTTGGATTCTGACCCAACCTTATTCATTCATTTTTCTGCAGACTGGATTTGGCCAGAGGCGCACTCCCTCGAGGCCTTAGATGTAGAAACGCGGACCAGCACAGCGGCTAAGCGATTTGTCGCCTCTCTGCAGAGCACATCCAGGATTTCTGAAAGCAGACTGTCTCTTGTACCTCAAGCCCAAGCAGAAGAAGCAGATGCACAGTTAAAGGAGATGTACCACAGAAATCTGGTGTCCTGGTTTGCAGACATCTCCTCAGCTCCACTGGGTCTGCACAGACTGGTTCATTTAGGAATGAGGATTGGAAGACGGGCAGGGGACTGGTACGGTCCAGGGATGGTGTCACACATGTTGAAGTAAGTTTGACCTTGACGTATGCACTATGCAGACAACTACTATTTTAAAAGTGCTAAAATACTAATACTCTGAAGTTACTATTAAAATAATGTCAAAGTGTCAACTTTTAAGGTCAAAGTAATGCAACCTAACTTAAAAACTCACCTTGAATGACTAGAATTGTTTCCTAAATTATGACAAGACAAACGGGTTGGAGATAAATCCATTAGAGGCTAGCATTTATATTTTTTTGTGTAAGATTGATAATCGTAAGGCTTTTATGTTTTGTCGTAATAAGTTTCAGTTATGGATTGTAAATAAACTTGTAGTAGCATGTTGTGCCATGGCTCTTTTTTGGTATATGTGCTGGTGTACTGCTGACTAAACATTCTTTAACACAATTCAAAATAATGTTACCTTTTCAGCATAAAAGTAGTAATATCCCATATATTTTGTTCAATGTAAACTTAGCTTTCACTCTCAGTTTCTCTCCTTTTCTTACTTGCCTGTCTACTTTTCCTGTCTTTTTGTTTTAGGGATGCTGTCAAGGAAGCGATGGAGCCTGGCTTGGAGGGTATAACTGTCTACGTCTCCCAGGACTGCACAGGTATAAAAGATGATGCTGCCGTTGATGGTACAGAAAACTGGGCATGGTGCCCAAGTCGACTGCTCTTTTATTCCTCTGTCGTTCTGCTGCTATGAGATTCCAGCTGCTAAAAGTGGGGGACATGGCTCTGTCTATTCCCCACAACAATCACATCCATTGCAAATCTATAACATGCTGCCACAACCTCCTCTTAACCTCAATATCTCAGCTGATTCATGTTTGTCTTCTCAATAGCAGAAGATGGCTGTTTGAGTTGGTAGCTTTTTTTTTTTGTTAGTGCAGTAGTGCTAGTCACAGTGAGAGACATTAAGATGACTAATTTCTTTTGGAAATGAAGTCGGCATTTGTAAAACTTTTTTTAAAAAGAGAAAAATTCTGAGGGGATGGGGAAGTTTTCTCTTGTTTGTAAATTCAACTCTAAACTGTTTCCTTGGTGAAACGATTAATGCGTATTTATGTTTTAAAAAGAAAAACAAGAGAATGTATAAAACAGAATTTAAGGTTCCTACTCACTCCAGAAAAGAGGAATTGGATGCATTTGTGCAGGTCTGCAAACACTCTTCACTTAAGATGATCAAGCCACCCTCTGATCCCAAATGCTCAGAATGGCTGTATCTCGTGTTCTGACCTACTTTCCGATCAGTTTAGGCAAAAATTATTTGACCTTATGGTGGTCCTCATAGACTGAAAATAAGTAAATTTTTGAAAGTGTTGTAAATGAGATTATTGTATGTCATATGGATAAAATGATGAAAATGTAAAGTTGCCTAATGTCTTAAAATAATATAAACAATAGACTCAAGTCCTAAAAACAGACTTGACTCAGTTGAACTTCTGCATTGTTCTGTGATCACCAACGCCAATCTTTTCTAGTGTACGATGAGGATGTCCTGGACTTGCACAAGGCTGTGAAAGCAGGAGAAGCCTCTGGTGAGACAGCAGCCAGTCCTCCTGTTGCAGAACACAGCCAACTGTCAACCTCCACACCGCCAGAGTACCAAGCAGTCATCATCCTCATCCCTGTGAGGCTGGGAGGAGACAAGACAAACCCAGAGTATTTTGACTTTATAAAAGTGAGAAATATATATTTTTTTTCTTTTTTTTTTTTTTTAAAGATCTCCTAGATGTCATAGGGTTAATGTTAAATCAAAAGTGGGTTTTGTCATAGAAGTTCAGGAGTCATTGTTGTAAATTGCAAATTTAGAATGTTTTACATTTGTTGAGATATCAGATTTGTGGATGATTTCAGGTCTCATTTTGTAAAGCTCTGACTTGTTATTGATTTATGCTAATTCGATTAGAAAGAAAACTTCAATCAAAATTAATACTTTTTAGTTGTTAGAAAAAGGGAAATCATGTAATTTGTCAAAGATCCAATTCAATATATTTTTGTGCATCCTATGACTTTGTTTCAGAGCACACTATCAAATGTTTAACTGTAAATCTGCTTCCTTCTGTTGCAACTTCAATACTGAAGAGTGATGTGGCGCATTCACAGGTGAAAACTAATTGTTTTTACCTGTGAAAGGTAAAAACAATTAGTGTTTTTACCTGTCACAGGCAGCAAAGTAATTTTCTACTGTTTAACTTAAAGATGATCAAGAGATTGTTTTGCTTTTATTTCATCAAAGTAATGAAAAACATTAAATGGTCAGACTAAAAATTGACCTATTTGGGTCACAAGCTGATTTCTTGGTTAATCTGTTAATTACAGTGAATCATGTCTTGAACAAAATGAAATCATTTTATCGCTGATACAGACATGTGTGCTTCTTTGCTCATTTAGAAGATATTGCGTCTGGAGTACTGCATAGGCGTCATTGGAGGGAAGCACAGGCAGGCCTTCTACTTTGTGGGATTTCAAGGTTAGTGCCAGTATAATGGAAAATGGAGAAAGATGCATTCACATAGCGATTGGTGTGAATAACAAATTATTTTTGCATAATATACCCTTTGTATGTGTAGAGACAAAGTAAGTTAATGTATTCATGTTTGTATGAGGAAAACGAAGAGGAGTGGAGATGAAACGGAGTGAAGCGGGGCTTACTTTATTCTCTCTGACCCATCAAAACCTCGCCCATTTATCACAAGTAAACCTCCCAAGTTGTAAACCATAATTGATTTCCATAGGCGGCAGGCATTAAATTTTATCCGGGCGCCCAAAGTGAGCCACTCTTCATCACCTTCAGCAGCCAGGAGAAACCTTCAGTTGTACATCTTGGCAGTCAATATTTACGCATTTACATTTTACCCATTTGAAATACAGTGTTGGATGATGTCTAAATGACAAGCAATACATTCTCCCTGCCAGTGCACAGCTCAGCACTGCATTCATCATATGCAAAACGGTTGAATATAATTGCGTGTTTGTAAAAGTAATTCCCCCACACAAAAATTAAATGACAACCTCTTTTCTTGCGGGTGTAAAAAATGTGCTTGTACAAACGCATCTGATTATGCAGAATTTAATCCACCCTGCTGGATATTAAAAAGCAACAGCCTTCTTGAAAGCACATTTGACGCGCACAACCCCAACATGCAAGTCCGTCGGGTGACTTTGAGCTGCTCTGCATAGATATTGAGAAGCACTTTTTATTTTTTTCCATCCTTGTAGTAATCTGATGTTTGAATAACTTGTCTTTTGTTTTGTCCTTGCAGACGACAGCTTGATTTACATGGACCCTCATTACTGTCAGTCTTTTGTGAATGTCAGCGCCAGCGATTTCCCTCTCCAGGTAACGTAAAATTACACAGACGAGCTGACTGAGGGTTCCAGTATATGTGGATTTCATAGTTTCTGTTAGTACTCATAGGTGTGAGTCTTAAAGCAGCACTCGGTCCTCACTGAGTCTGTATTGACTGATTTATTTGCTGCTCAGGCGAAGCTGCCATCTAAGAGAAATACTGAAAATGCATCCTCTAGCAGATTTAACTGAAATTTTATAGGTTCATTAGACACAAAGTGGTGCATTCTAAGTGTTTAGTTCTGTGGGAACTGTTGACTATTGTCTAATGTGAATGAGAACCCAAATTCCTCAAAAGGTAAAAAATTGCATAAAATGGTAAAATATTTTTGTTTTTGTTTTTTTGTCTGGGGCTTTTGCATCATGAACAGCCTGTGGCTCTGCTGAAATGTTGAAGCCCGGGTTGGTTTAAAAGAACTGCAGCTGTTTTGCAGTTTTCTGAATGTTTGTTCCAGATTAGAGGAGGATGGAATCTGAATCTTGCTCCTCTGTCTGGTTCTGGAGATGGGAAGTTGACCAGAAACAGATCTGAGAGGTCTGGAAGGTTGATGCAATTGATTGAGAATGCATTTGGTCCTTTAGAAATTCAGTAATTCACTTAAAGAATGAATCACTGAAGTGTATCAATTTTAACCCATGTTCTAGATACATTTTTGTGTGATGGATATTAAAGGGGCAGTAATGTTTTTTAGCTCTACATCATTTTGATTACGGTACTCCCATATCAAGAATATACCTGCAGTGTTGCCTTGACTCTTTGATACATGTTTGAGAAATTATTTAATCTCCCATGGTGACTATTTAGCTGTCCAAAAAGCTCATTGGGATGTAGCTCCACCTTCAAGCCACAGCCTCTCCCTGCAGCTTCTTCCCCTGCCCCCCAGCTCAGACAATCTACCACACCTGGTAAAATTTCACATCTGAGCTAATCAAGATTAATCAGCAATGCTGGTTAAAAAGATTTATTTCCAGGAGGCTGAGTTTCAGAAAGAGCAGGAGTTTTTAAACCCAATTTCAAGACATTAAATCAGGAAGTAAAATTTTAAGTTATAAAATAGCACTATATGCCTGGAATATGCAATACTACTTGATTTAAAGCCCTGACTTTTTTTTTATTACTAGGATGTCTTTTTATAAGTTTAATTTCTCTAAGTTACTTGGACAAATGTACTTTTCAGTGACATTTCATTCAGTTTTTTTATCCCTTCATGTTGTACCATACAACATTGCAATAGACAACATTGAAATGCAAACACTGTGCACATAGTTTTTATTTTAAGTGATAAAGACTACTTGTTTATATTCTAGACAGCAGTGAATATTTACTTCATTTTGATAAACGTCTTTAGATTTTTAACTTTCCCTCTTTCTTTTTATTTTTAATTTTGGTAGTCATACCATTGCCCCTCACCAAAGAAGATGCCTTTCAGCAAGATGGAGCCAAGCTGCTCTATAGGTTTCTACTCTAGGAATCCTCAAGATTATCAGAGATTCAGGGAAGAAATGTCCAAGGTAAAGACACCTAACTCAGAACACCTTGAAATAACTTAATTAGTGAAGTAATTGCACTGCTAATTTTCCAGATATGGTTTTTGTTTGAAACCATTTCTAGATTAATTTCATTTTGCCAGTCCTACATTAGATGTGCAGTAGGTGGCAGCATTTAGCCACAAATCTAATTGAATTGTCATCCAGTCAATATGCTGTACAGCTGTTTCAAAAGCCCAGTTGCTGCCTCAGTCAGTTGTGCTTAAACTACTTTTACCATTAAAATTAATTCAGTTGCAGCAAGATGCTTTCTTTAGAGTAGAAATGCAAAATAAAGATTGCTTTTTTTTTTTGTTCCAGTTGGTGGAGCCGTCACTGCAGGGGAAATATCCGGTGTTTACTTTTATGCAAGGTCGCAGCGCAGAGCAGGAATGCCCCTTTAGGGAAAGGTACAGAACCTTCGCCACAGTTGGAGACTTTGTGCTTCTCTGACAGCCCAGTTTGGTACAAGAAATGTTCACACATAACAATCCTAGCTGTTGAAATTCTCTGCATTATGTCTGGCAGTGCAAACAGTGAATTATTTTTGGGAAGTTCATTGACATGTGTTCTACTGACTCTAAATTCATATTTTTTTAAAATGCAGAATTAATAAGAAATGTGTATATTTTGCATCACTATTTGTATTTTTGTAGTCGGTATGTTTTTGTCAAAGTGGTTCAGACCTTAAGTTGGGTTTCATTTGTAAAATTGATGTAAAAAACAAAATCCAACTTTGGAAGGTCAAACGCACAGATGAAATCACAGCTTGCACTGCTTTTGATAGAACATTGTTTTGTCTAAACTAGCTGAAGTCTGCAGAGTGATTTAAAAGCCATAATATTTTGAACAAAATTATAAGTCATTTTAAAAGTTTTTTAATTTTTTTTAAATGAAACCCAAGGTTTAGGATTTAGTCATATTAGTATAACTCTGACTTGGTCCTGTTCTTTCAATTCCAACAGTGTCATGCAAACGTGTTTAGAATAGGAACGTGGTGCTAGTAAATACTAAGTCATGTTGTGCCAACTTACAATAGTAGTGCAACCTAAATTTGACTTGTTCAGTTTGTCATGATTTATCAAAAAGTATACAAACTTGTATCCAATTACACTACATAATTGAGTAAACAAAAATCATCAAATGGACCCAAGTCAGAATTTCAAGAATAACACAAACTCTGGCCTCAAGTTCAGTGGTAGCAGCAGTGCAAAAAAATTATTTGACCATTATAAACACATAGTAATAGACTGTATCTTCTGGACAACATGTTGCCACTTGACAAAATGAAAAAAATGTATGGTGGTAACTCATGATGTCAGTAATGAGACGCCTGAGCTCTGAACAAAAAATCTGCTTTTTAAACTCGATTAGTTGGGTTTGATGTACCCAGATCCAGGTTTTGACTTCATAGGTAAAAGACATAGTAGCATAAATAACCAAAAAATATTTATTCCTGGCTTACTGTCTAATTCTCCCCAGTTAATAAGTTATTCTTAAATGTATTCATTGTTACTGTAATAAGTGGTGCTTTTGCAGTTTTAGAATCATGGATCTAGAGCTGTGAATCCCAAACTTTGTATGCTAGCCACACAGAGGCACAATTTAAATAACTTAAGGCATTAATGTTCAATATAAAATTTCATCTTTGTTTTTTGTAGCTTTTACATCAAATACATTTTGCCATGTTTCTTTGAGTTCTGTAAAATGTTTTTAAGACTGTACACTGAGTGATTTGTAACACTGTGAGGTATCGAACCACTGATCTAGAGTATTTACAATGTGTTCCAGGTAAAGTGAATGCCTTAAATATTTCACTACTTCAGCACCTTAAGTGAAGTCCAAGTGCTATTTAAAAGTAGAGTGTTTTATATTCTGTACTTTCTATTAATCTAGATTAAACTCTGAAACATATGAAGGAAAAAATGCACACATTGAGGGAAGTTCTTCACAATTCAGCACAGAGTTCACTTGGGTTATAGTAGAGCTTTTTTGGGGGGCGGGTTCTCAGCAATAATATACCAGTCTTGTGTGACACTATACCTCTAATGTGCTTTGATCTCAAGTGGAAGATTGCTGGTGTGACTATTTATGAACAGCACATTCCCATCAGCATGAATCACTTGAATCAAAGTCAAAAAATTGCAATATAAAGACTTGTACTGTATGAATAACTTTTTGTCTGGTACATTTGACACTGCTGTAAATATCTTCCAAATATTCTGATGCTTTTCCACTTATTTCCCTGAGTTCCAACAGTGAATAAGTGAAATTTACTGTTCCATAGTTACAGAAGCTAACATTTACATGAAGTACACTAGCTGTGTCCAAATGTCATTGTCACTTAAACACTAAAATATTCTTTTATAAAAATGTTTTCTGTAAATTAACTTTAAAATGTGAAAATATTGTCTAAAGTTGAACAAGAGCTAAATAAAGTATTTTATTTGAATTAGTTTGCATTGTTTCTTTCTATGTGTTGAAAAATTCATAGCCACCCTGAAATAAAAGTTGAAGGAAAATGAAATGTTTGCTTCATTTTCAAAACGGCATCCAAACCTCACCGATGTGTTGAAATAAATTCAATGGCTTTTCTCACCCAGTCAAATGTAGAAGATTAAAACTAATCGTACGTGCTAACCATCTCTACAGCCCATTAACCAGGAACCGGAAAAAATGTGACCCAGTGACACTGGCAGCAATTGTGTTCCTCTGGAGGAAAAGAAAATATCCTTGTGTGCAAAGCTCTGTTGCCATAGATAATCTGTTGCCCTGTTGCTGTTTTCCCTGTACAATGCAAATTCTTGTATTATGATGAGCTGTGCTTTTTAAAGGAGGGAAATGTCCCTTCTGTGGGGAAGTTGGGGCAAGGGTGAAGATAGATGGAGAGACGGATTAAGAGTGCCTCATTTGTTCTCACCCTGGACACATAAAGGCATCGTTTAGATCCTCTGCCTGATGTCTTTCTTTTTTGGCCTAGCAACAGACTTTGCCGATAGAGCGGGGCCATTAAATATCCAAAAGCAAAGCATCTACAGAGACATTCCTCTGTTTGGGAGATTAAAAGTGTGGACATGAGGGGACAGGACATGAGGAATATTTTAAACAAGACAGACTCATTTGTTCACCAGGCTGCTTGGAGATCTGAGCATTGACTTTGTTTGCATTGTATTTACAGGGATCTATGAATATTTGATACAAGTCACAGGAGTAAGAGAATTACAGTAAATGAGTAGTGGTTTTGTAAAATGCAAACATGGATTCTTTTTAGAAATCAGTAAATTGGGAGGTTAATATTTTACTTCAGGGTTCAAGTAAAATATTGGCATGAAATTTTCATCTGGCATCTTAACAAATGTTCTGATCATTCAGACAACAATATGGAGTCTAATCCAAATTACAACACAATTAGCAATTTTATTTTTGCTAATTTTATACTAACTGGGGAAAAGTTGCATAAGGAACTATTACATGATTTAGCTAATTTTATTGAGTAACTTTACAGCAGTCTCATTTAGAGGAAGAATGTGATGGAGGTGGACAGGAATCTGCTTTTTACAATAAGATACTTGTAACCCTCAATGAAAGGGACATAATTAAAGACAGTGGTGCTGAAATGGGTGTACTTTCTGTAGGACAGAAAAATGATTATACATTACATTAGAATTAACAGCAAATTCTCCATCAATGAATTCATGCAGGAAGTACAAGCAAATAAGCACAAGGTGTACTTTCTAAGGAAAGAAAATAGACATCAAGATATCTGGCAGGTGAACCTCAAATTAAAGATGACATCTTTAAAGATGAGCTGGGAATTTTTTCTAAAATTCAATGTTCTGAATTTTACATAAAATAAAATTCAAGAAATTAAATGTACATGTATAGATTCCCAAGAAAAATTGTATTGAAAAGTAAACAAAAATATTTGGCTGTCTTGTTACCAAGCATATAAAGTCAAAAATGAGTGTGTGATGTAACAGTGTTAAACTTACCAGTCATTAATTACAATTTGCCTTACTTCCATGTTTTAAAGGGAAATTGAGAGAAGTTCTCAATGTAAGATCAGACACTGATGGATCGCTTGAAGAACATCCAGGTGAATCAGTTGCTACTAAAGTCCTACGCCCACAGTGTGTATATGCATGTGTCTATCGAGGAAAAAAGTGATGTCTTTTTTTTCATTTTCCATTTCTAAGGAGCGTGTAAATTTATATCGATGAATGTGTAGTTTACACATGTACAGCTTGTGTGTAAGACATTCTAAATCTTAGGTGTCACTCCTTCCCTGACTTCACACCAGGTGCAGGAGTGCTAGATTTATACCCAGTAGCCCTTGCCCACCCTTGTGGAATGCCATGCATCTTCAAACAGGTACTTCACTTTGAAATCTCATCTCTTCGTGATCTCTAGGCGGCTAAATATACCCAGCTCCCAGATCCTGCAGCCGTCGGAGCGTAAATACCGCCTGCGCTGCATCGGACTGCATTCAGAGTCTTAAGTCTGCCTGTGCAACTGTCCACTTGTCTCCACCCGTCTACTGCAACGCCCTCCACCCCCTCACCCGCCAAACACAAGCTCCTGGAGAAGTGCTGAGGCACTGCATGCCTAACACATCTCCTCTGGGCTGAAGCCAGACAAATGTCATGATGCTGTGATTAATCAGCACCACACAAGACCGCTTTAAGGCCATTCAACCCCGTGAACATGACCTACAGCGCACAGGTCAAAGGTCCCTCACCTTTTTTCCCTCTCTGGTTAAAAATGTGCTTCGTGGCATAACCAGAGCTGAATATCTGGATCGTTTTGCACCAACAGAAAAACTGTGTATGGGGTTGGCGTCAGGGGGGGTGAAGTGTTTATGTTTCAACTTTATATAATTATGGAAGGGAGCAAGAAATATGGTTGATGTTTTGCTGAGCTGACGAGTCAGAATATTTTATAATCAGAAGATTGTCAGATGACTTAAAATTAGAAACATTTTTGAAGGTAAAATAAATAAGTCTATGTATTGTAAGAATGACTAAATAAATAAATTTCAGGACTGATATAGCTTCATTATTTTTGAAATTTTATGTCTTAACTTTATCTCTCTCTTTCCCCTGATTACGGTAATTTACAGCAATTTTAAGAGAGATGTTTTTAACCTTGTGTGATGAAATGGAATATTTCAGTGAAGGTTAAGGCAATTTTGGAAATTTATACCACATCTACTTCCCCAAAATTGAATAATTTATTTGACGCAGTACCTTAGATCAGTTATTTTCAGTGTTCATAAAATTTTACAATACTTAAAAAACTTAAGATGGCCTCAGCAAGTGCAATGTAAAATGTATGAGCTTTCACAAACTATGGAAATATGAACAAGTCAAGGTTTCCAATTTGGATGTCTTCTATATGTATAATTGGACCTTTTTTAATCTACTTATCTTCTTAAAAATAATTGACTATTGTATCTAATATATGAGTTTGCAGATTCTTCCTATGTTACTACAAGGATAGGCTTCCTATGGTAGGGGCCCAAAGCAAAGCTTCACACCTACTGTTGGCTAACCTCACCAGGCTGTGACAACAAGAAGGGCACTGGAGTTAACATTTAGATAACGGATGTGTGTACTGCTTTCGATTTCCATTCCTGGTGACAGAGAATCTTGGGAACACATTACGGGTTGTGTGTGAGGGGAGCCTGTGCAATCCCATGTTTCCTGCATCTCCGGGGTGATGTGGAGGAACATCGAAATTCCTCATTCTGCTGTTTTCTGAGGCATGGCCAGCCCTCTGTCAGCTTTTACTAACCGGATGCATCCGATGCCGAGGCTGAAGGCGGGGGATATTGCCTGCTGTGTAGCTGTCGACTTGTTTCTTATTGCATGCCAGTGTTGAGCATGGCGGCAAGTGTGTTGTGTGTACGTGTAAAAGCCGATGTTGGAGGTTAGGAGGTTGTCAGCCTGTCTTTGTGTCTAAAATGCATATGGCGGGACATGCTTTGAATAAAGGAGAGTGCATCATTCTCCACAAACCCTCTGGAACAGTCATACCTGACTTTTGGCATCAGTCTCTGCCATGCAGTAAGCAAGCAAGCTTTGCCTGGTTATCATTCCTTAACATACACCTGGTTAATGACATACAGAGGCATGTGTGTGAGGAGGATTATATGTTAGGTTATATGTTAGGGACAGACAACCATAAATCAAGAGGAAAAAAAAGAGTTTCTGATGTGAGGTTTTTTCATTCGGGTTTTATTCGATTGTGTGTGTGGATCTGGCCGTGTGTGTGGGAGTGTGATCTGTTCCATCCTGTTAAATTTGTGTCTGTGTGCTACTTTGCAATCTCATCTCCATCCAAAACTCCTGCAGGCCCCGTGCTTCATTACTACGCAGTTGCAATAAAACCCACAGTAATTAAAGGGGATCTGGTTGTAATTGCCTCAGTGAATCAACTTAATCAGCACCTGTGCTCACAGTCATTGTAATAGTCCAATCTAACCTTTTAATACCTCAGAAATTAGAACTGTAAAAAATTATACACATGATAATCATTCTGTATTTTGAAACTCTTGAGTGGACAATGATTCGACTATTGGCCAAGACAAATACTAAAGCTTCGCCATGCTGTGTGAGCTTGTCTGTTCACATCGAAAGTGTGCAAAGAATTTTTTTTTTTTATTCTTTACAATACAGCAGGGATAACTGCGGAGTGATAAAATGGAAATGTGTAGATCTTTTGCAAGTTTTGACATGGTGCAAGATCCTATTTAGGATATTCTGAAAGATCTAATGAGTTGAATGTGAGGGAGAAGTGATCAATCTATTTAAAATTTTAGAAGCACATAATAGACTACATCTATAATAATTGAACTCTAGTCTCTACTTATCAAGTGGCAACTTGAATTTACAGTTTTTCCCTGTAAATTCTGCTCAGCTAATTTAGGCCTAGCTCCCACTGTTTTGGGGCATATCCACTGAAAAGTACTTATAACAAAACTAAAAGTGATTTGTTATATTACTTTTTTAAATCAAATAAATTAGTTACAATACAATATATATTAAATGGAGCAACTTGTCATTTTAACCAGTTGTACTTTTAAAATCTCCTGTCCAAACCTGATGGTATGATATTAAAAAATGTTCCATTTTGGTCTCATTTACCGAGAACATTTTGTTTGACATACTTGCTGTTTGTATAACAGGACTTCTTACAACTTCAGAAAAGATCTGCATAAAAACAGAACTTCGCAAAAGTACCAGATGTTGCACAAAACAGTTATGTAGTCTCATTTCTATGGTGTCATTTAAAATATATGAGGTAAATGTACTATAATAGTTTTGCACAACAATCTAGATGTGAAGCAGACAGTATACACTGTTCAAGAAGAAGAGGAAGAAAAAATTAGGGATAACGACAGCTAAAATCATGAATAAATTAGCAC